ATATTGTTACACTCTCAAAGGTTACTCATTATCCCCTGGATAATGATCCTATCCAGTAAAGACCCAAGAGTGAACTCAAGTTCAATAATTTAATTTGTCAACAATGAAGTTTCAAATATTTTACAATAACCAATCACTCAGCCTTCCTTATCCCTCTCACTATTACTAACTTCCTATCCTATATCTCAAGGTTCTGTAAAAAATAATTGATGATATGTGCCATGAATATTCTGGTTGTAAACAATGTAAGTTAACAAGAAGGAATTCGCAAAAATATTCCTTCTATTTAGAAAGATTTATAATAACATTCCTATTACTCCAGGAAGCTCCAGTCTAATACAAACCTCAAACCTCAGCAATAGATAACTATCTATGAATGAGAACTACTAATGAATTATTAATGAATAAACTTCAACAATAAACTTCCAAATAAACTAATAACTGTTCCCGAATCCCGTATAAAATGGCATCCCACCCGTAGCTACATGTACTGTCACGAAAATGTCCCCAAGTTATTTGTTACTAAAACCCTACAAAAAATCCCCAATAATAAATTAACCCAATCCCCATATAGACATACAAGACGAGACAGCCGCATTATTCCCACATGGGCTCGGTTTCGAGATACTTTCGGTTAGTTATAAACCTATACACACCAGTAAATAACAGCAACACTTTTTATCCGGTGTTTATACACATTCTAAAACCTTATAAAAATTGAGGGTACCGAAAGATGTACGATTTGGGCAGGAGCTCCTGGCCAGAGTAGTAAAGTACTAGTAAACAAACTTAAGGTAGTTGAAACAACAGAAGTCAGTCGGACATTTAGAATAGATGTACTGGATAGTATAAAAGGCAGGTTATGACCACAAAGAGTGAACAATGTAATTTCTGTGGATACCAAAAGGCAGTGAAATCAAAACTTATTACGAATTAACAAAAACGTGTTGAGGAGAAATAATAAAAAGACATTGTGAACACTTGCAAATAAAACAAGAGTCCCAGAGGGCCTGTATCGCTCACCTGAATATATTTAAAATAATTGGTATGAAGTAAAGATATAGCACTCCATGGTAGGTGCTGTAAGTACATATGAAATTTCCGAAAGATCCATCCAGTACTTGAGATATAGCGAGAACAAACTTAAAACAGAGCCCTGCCCCTATGCCCCTAGGGGGTCTTACCCACCGTTTATACAAAATTGAGTCCTCTTGGCCCAAGGATGCTCCAGACTAAATAAGGATAAAATCCGGTCATTCGTACAGAAGAAGGTATTTGAAGTATTTGTTACACTCGCTGTTTATATGAAATTGAGTCCCTTTTGCCCAGGATGTTCCAGACTAAATTAGGATAAAATCCCTTATTCCCTATGGTAGAAGAAGGATTATAAAGGTTTTACCTCTATTTTCCCTATTGGGCCCCGCCCCTCAGGTCCCAGGGGGGGCTACACCCACCGTTTATACAAAATTGGTTCCCCTTCACCCAAGGATGCTCCACACCAGATATGGACCAAATCCTTTCATTCCTACAGAAGAAGAAGGATTTTAAAGAATTTGCTATGTTTCCCCTATTTGGCCACGCCTCTCAGGCCCATGGGGGGCCAGCCCAACTGTTTATACAAAATAGGTTCCCCTTCACCCAAGGATGCTTCAGAGCAAATATGGAACAAATTCTTTCATTCCTACAGAAGAAGAAGGATTTTAAAGAATTTGTTATATTTTCCCTATTGGGCCACGCCCCTCAGCCCCCATGGGGGGCCAGACCCACCGTTTATACAAAATTGGTTCCCCTTCGCCCAAGAATGCTTCGGACCAAATCCTTCCATTCCTACAGAAGAAGGAGGATTTTAAAGAATTTACTATGTTTCCCCTATTGGGCCCGCCCCTCAGGCCCATGGGGGGCCAGACCCACCGTTTATACAAAATTGGTTCCCCTTCACCCAAGGATGCTCCACCCCAGATATGGACCAAATCCTTTCATTCCTACAGAAGAAGAAGGATTTTAAAGAATTTGTTATATTCCCCCTATTGGGCCACGCCCCTCAGCCCCCATGGGGGGCCAGACACACCGTTTATACAAAATTGGTTCCCCTTCCCCCAAGAATGCTTCTGACCAAATCCTTCCATTCCTACAGAAGAAGAAGGATTTTAAAGAATTTACTATGTTTCCCCTATTGGGCCCGCCCCTCAGGCCCATGGGGGGCCAGACCCACCGTTTATACAAAATTTGTTCCCCTTCACCCAAGGATGCTTCCTGCCAAATATGGAACAAATCCTTTCATTCCTACAGAAGAAGAAGGATTTTAAAGAATTTGTTATATTCCCCCTATTGGGCCACGCCCTTCAGCCCCCAGGGGGGCCAGACACACCATTTATACAAAATTTGTTACCCTTCCCCCAAGGATGCTTCTGACCAAATTTGGTCAAAATCTTCTCGGTCGTTCATGACTAGTAGCGTTTTAAAGGAAAAGTTGACGGACGGACGACGGACGCTGCGGTATGGCATAAGCACACCGTGGTCCTTCGGACCAGGTGAGCTAAATAAATGTGAAAATATAGTCAAACAGGTACTCTTCAATTGAGGACGGGTAAGCGTTTATCTGTTCTAAAAACATGATGAATGCCCCCCGTTAAGGGAAGTGTATAGTCAACAACGATCTGAAAACACAGTGTGCATATTGCATTGGGAACTGTCGTTTTCTACTGACAGAGATCTTGTTCCGAAGTTCATGTCCAACAAGCCATGCCGTTCGTGAACTTCTCTAATGTCTGCCATGACGCATTAGGAGAGTTTGTTGGAAGCATTTCATTCTCCGAACTTTGACTCCAGATCTTTGTCTATATTCCAAGCAGTGCATATAGTGGACACCAAAGGAATTATCATTTCACTGTAAGTTTATGATGCCACATTGCTATCTGTGAGGATCGTTTCCTTGCTTTTAAAGTAGTTTAAAACATTGTACATTTAGTCGCTGAACAGACAACTGTTTTTCATGGTTATTTTCTAAGAGAATGTTACTAGTACTCGAAGACATAGTAGCTGTTACACAAGTAAGTACCTAGGATTTGTATACATTCAGTTGTATAGAGGACAGCCCTCTAGGCCGGTAAAAACCAGCTGGACTAGTGGTTCTAAATATTACGTATTCCTCATCTTGTTGAATAAAATTGGGCTAGTGAAATTTGCGCATGAACTAGCAAAAAAAGTTTTTTTAAATGATTTTTTAGCCCTGGTTACTTTTTCTTATATTAATTTAAGCTGTGAAATCCGCCCGTCTTTTCTGATATTTAGCTTTTCTCTCTCTTCTTTTACAAACCTCTGGCAATACCTCACTTTCGGCCGTAGTGTTGAGCGTTCCCCCAAAATTCATTCAAACATATTTTATTGACAGTGAACTTACAACCTTCTAGGCCCTCTCCCAACAATTTTAATATAACAGTACAAATATGGCGTGATAACAAAAAAACATATATTATGTACTTAATAATGGATATGTAAAACAGAAAGAGAAATGAAAGGGAGTGAAGGAAGACGTGAAAAGGGGGATCAGGAGAAAGATGTCCTGGTTGCATTGGTTGTCCACTAAATTGTTTAAAAACTTTTTGTAGATTTTATGTAAGACTGCACAGCGAGAATAATATCGACATTAGTTTGGAATGGGAGTTCAGCATCACCCCAAGGAAGAGTATCGAATTGAGGGTCAGGCTGTTTACCAATGTTCACAAGGGCATATAATTATCCTATTCGAATATTTGAAAACTTAGAACAGATGAAAAATAGTGATACGCATCTTCTTTACCATCATCACAGTGACAGGCTGGAGATAAACAAATACCAACGCGAAAGAGATCAAGATGTGTTTCAGTAAAGCACAAACTATCAAAGTCTGTAATAAAACTGTCTAAATCGCTTAACTTATTTCTTATACTTCTGATGTTTAGATGGAGTACACTTAAATCGAATTTATCGGGACCAGGATTCATCTCGATATATATCTCCACTGAGTAGTAGTATAATACAAAGAAACGGAAAATCAGCACTGTTAAAGCAGATTTGAGTAGTGTATTATTCATGATCTTCACTAATTCTGAAGGCAGAAAACAAATTAGCATCAAGTAATATAACCAGTAATGTTAATATTGTAATAATGCCGATATGGATTTTGAAAGAAGAGGAGGGTAAATAGCATCTGCCGTGGAACAACCCAATCGACACCCTGTACATTTCTAAGGAATTACCCATAATCAGTCAAATGATAGACAAACGAATTGTTGTACATGACGTCGACCGCATTGCAACTAAGACGGTTGAAAGAAAAGTTTGGTAAGCAATGGCTTCTGTGCCCAGGCCGGGATATACCAAAGTCCTTCAAAATGGTAGTTGCTATTCCCTGCTTAACAGCTGGTTTACCCGTTGTCAGTATAATGTGACTGGGCGGAATACTGTGTTGTGTGCCTCTAGGATGGTAGTTCAGTGAAGTAGCTCTGTAAAGTCGGCATAAGATCCACGCTATCGCAAGGAGGCAAATCCTTAACTTACCCCGCTCCAGTACACATACCAACACGCATACATTATACACATGGAGACATGTTCTTCAATAACCTTCGCTATTAAACAAAATCAAAGCCAAAACCAAAATAATTTATTATTAAGCTTTGTGGCAGGTAGGAACTATTACTCACGTGGTCTTTCAACATATACGTGAAGTTGTGGGACAAGGCAAGTACTATTTCTTACATATCTGTAGCGGCTGTTAAATAGGCAAATGATAATATCATGAAATACTAGTACCCATCGGTAGCTGTTGGACTGGTTAGGAATTCCTTTCTTTTCAGCATTCATTTTTCTCTACAGTAGTCCACATTATTACAGGTATTATAAACCAACAATGCTCGATCTTATAACATAAAACATACCGCAAAGGCTCAAAGCATTATGATTATAGTTCATTCACATTTTCCTATCCAAACAAAAGTACTAAATAATAAATAAAACTCTGGTTGTTGTAAAACAGTTTCCATTGTTTTTATTTCACTCAAATATGACGTATTTTGTACAAATAATTACGTGAACAAATGTATTTCAACAGTGGTTAAAAATATGCACAAGGACATTGTGCAAAGGTTATCACAGACAGGTGCAAGCAGCAAGCTGTATGGTGTACAGGCGCAACAAAAACAAGCAACAATTCTAGGAAACATGACTGGGAGAAAGTAAACAGTTAAATATCTACAGGAGATTCTTGTTCAGCCTTGAATAAGCTTAATCAAATCTGCATTTGTTTTCAGGCCTCCATGTTGCGAGTTTCAATCGATGACAAGTATAATAAATTTGAAATTCTTCTTTATCTTCCAAAATAAAATCCAAAACTTTCATTGACATATACATATTACATTGTGTTCCATCACGTTTTTGAGTGTTACGGAAGCTGAAACTTAATAATTTCATAAATAAATACACGGAAATCTTGAATTCCGAAGTAAAGAAAACGAAAGGTAACTGTTAAATACTAAATAGGATAAAATAATTTTCATCTGTATTTCTTAAATAGAGAATACGTTAAAGAAAATATAAGATTTATTAAAATCTCATAAAAGGAATTAACTTTTTTTAAAGGCAAGATTAAGTACAAATTAGAATACTGATTTTATTCTTTTCATTTCACCACTAAAGTATCTATACAGACTATAAGAAATGCACATTCGCACGATATTTAGAAAATCTACGTAAAAGTAAATAATACATTGATGCCATTGATTAAAATAAAAATCTTCAATTCGACTAGCACTTATTTAACTTTGGTAAGGATATTACACTACTGTAACAGATCACATAACGAAAGTAATATACCTAACATTCTACTTACCAGGCCAACGCCCCTAATCTTTGAAGATATCTATACAACTGTTTATCATTGTATAACGAGAAAAATGCAACATAATCACACAGATATGAAACTAACAGTATGTCTTAATAGACCTTAATTAAATGTATTTCTTATAAAAGATGTGTCAACACGGAAGTAGAAATCATTCCGATTTATTCATGAAGAACATTTGAAATGTTATTTTCAATACCAGGAATTCAATGAAAAATAACATCAAATGAACACATTTACCTTTTATTAGCTTCACCATTTCTGGCATGGATAAGCAAGCAAAACAAAAACAAATAAATAAAATGATAACCAAGAAAAACATATATACACCAAAGCATGTCTTAATCATATCAAACACGAGGTATCTCGCAGTAGATCACAGAGATTTAAATATAGCAGGAGTTCAACAATGCTGTCTTCACATTAAAATATTTTGTGTTAATACTGAAACGTATTCGAGGATTTCATAATTGCTTGTGAAAAGTTATCTTCTCTGGATGATATAAATATATAAGCATGCATGCTTTTTTGAGTTGTCCATGATCATTGTTTGCATGCCATAAGCATTATTTTATATATGTGCTGTAATAAAACGCTAAATGTACACAGATATGACGGACGTTAAAACTAGTGTGAATAATCCTCAGTTCTTGGCAGATTCATATACTCCATGACCAAGTTTACCCTTTCGGGATATTTGATCGGATTCGAAATGTTCATAGCCAGATACTCTAGCAGGATCTGAGCGGAATGTCTGTAGAGATGGCTTGGCCTGCAAACAGAACAAATTATACACTTGAATGACCTAATTTCTCTATACTCGCCAGTATAATATGATTCATGTTCACCAGAAATAATATGCTCCCCATTTGTCAGAAAATGTATATTTGTTCCAATGGTAAATTTCTCAAGTGATGTGTTATATATAAATACATAGGGAAAAGTCGTATTAGGGTTTATCAAGCAATCGTGAATAGTAATACACTTCGAGAACGGAAAAGAATAACTGTTAAACATTGGACCATATTCACACAATCACTGATGTATAATTCCACATTAATCTAAGCTTCAATAAGTGTCCCATACAAATAGAATCACGCTTACATTTTTCTTGAACTTCGGTAACTGCCAAAGTGGAGCTTCATCAACAGGGTTTTGGTATGTTCTCAGCAGGGAGGCTCGTGTCTCGTACACTGTATTAGGGTTTCTTCGTTGCTGACAAAGTAAAGAAATATCAATTAGTTTTGTTAAAGCTGTATGCCATTTACAAAATTACATGCTCTTTTTGACATTTGAGTATTACTGTTTTATTTTGCATTGTGCTTTTCTTCTAGTATTTTTGTAATATTCGTATCTTTACAAATGTTGTAGTGTCATATGTATGGTGCTATACAGGAATTTCCTTTAACTGACAGAGCACTTCATTATTGTATATATAACATGAGCAAGTCAGGGTTATTTACACATTCATCAAAGCTGCTACGATAATAGATCGTGACGTTGAAGAAAATATTTAACCCAAGATGATAGATAACGATTTATTTCCAACTGGAGCCGATTCTTTAGTACTTGCTGAATTAACTTAATCAAATGAATATTTTGATAAATCATTCCTCGCTGGATAGCTTCTACAGATATATTAAAATCGGGGGAGATGATACATACAATCAATATATCAATCAATAGAAGTAAAGAAATTATTTTCTACGATACCTAACAGACCGACAGTGACATGTTAAGTAGATATGTCATATATGTAGATGTGTAAAGAGTGGTTCCACAACAAGGGAAAGTAGCTTCTCATGTGTATCTAACTTTAGCAGTTTGATTTCAAAATTCAATGAGAAAAGACGCTTTAGCGCTTAAGCACAATTTAAAAACCTTTTGATAAACTAACGGAATTGAGTACCCATGTAAACAACGATCGCGATTTGTGGGACTTTTCTACGCCGTTACAAACTGCGAAGCAGCAGTAGGAGGTGATACATTATCTTTAAAAAAATCCTAGCTTTGTTCCCTGCTCTAAAGAAACTTTCTATTTCATGAGACTCCAAATATTTTTGATAGTCTTCATTTTCAATCAATTCTGTGAGAATTTTGGTAAAATATCACGGAAGAATGCCATAAAGGAGGAACAAAATGATACTGTATCAGTCCATCTTCAAACTACCAAGTCTTTAGTTCAGGATTTCAATCAAAATGGCGGACTATGTTAATCAACCGTCTGGATAATAAACCAACTCTGCCATTGAATTGATGACCTTGTAGTTGATATGGTTAAATACAATGTTTAATCGGCCCAGTTATCACATATGAAATCACAAATGAATGATTTAGCAAACATTTACTTTAATTTCTTGAGCAAACAAACGCATGAAACGTACAGGAAATAATGGGAAATCGGGGCTACATGAGTTCGACTACTCAAACTAAGCTAGCAAACTACTGGTAAAGTGTATGACTGACCAACAATACGATCAATTAACTACAACTTTACTTTCTTAATGCAGTTACGAATGTGTATATGTAAATGTATAACAGACAATGGTACTCGACATTTAACTCACTTCTCTTTGTTATCCAGGTTAAATATGAACACTTTATCAATACACAACGGCGGCATTTATATTGCTCAACACCTAAATTGATTTAACTGTTTAAATATAATAAACTAATTGCTCTACAACTAGAATTATTCATACTTGTAGGTAGCTAAGCTATGGTATATAGCATATATGTGAAAACTATAAAAGTAAATATGGCAAAATAATTATTTACATAAAATTCAATGCATTTTATAATCGGAACTAATTTGAAACGTAACTGGTTTTGTTAAGCAAAGTTCCATTAAATTGTAGACATCATAATGTAAACTGGATTATACATTAAAGAACAGCTTCATCCACGTTTCTATATGGAATATAAAACGAGAATACTACAGATACAAAGAGTGATATTGATTAAAAACTGTAGCAAACGTTGAGTAAATGAGTACTCATAAAATAGAAGAAACGCTCTAGACTAGACTATTATACTATGATAATTACCTTCAACTTCAATGGTAGAAAATGGAAAGCATGGGAATAAAAATCAAGATTTAGTTGTTTCTGTTTACAAGTATTAAAAGTATAAGTAGAGGAGCACACATTCAAGCATGGTCGTACGGTGAAAAGGACGGATTTACAGCAGTATTGTTTGAAAGCATTGGGTACAGTAACAAGAGGCCCAGAGGGCCCGTATCGCTCACCTGGATGTGTTTTTTTTAAAAGTACTGGATATGAGATATGGTAGATACTGTAGGGACATATGAGATTTCAAAAAGATCCATCCAGTATTTCTGGTGATATAGCAAATATATAATATACTTCAAATGTCAAAATGCAAAATGGCGGCCTCGTGGTCATCTTGCTTTAATGAACACACCCTAAGAGTAACTGGCACTACTAGACAACTTGATGGAGACAAAATTAGGATAAATCCCGTAATGCCTATGGTAGAAGAAGATTTTTAAACGGTTTACCTCTATTTGCCCTATTCGGTCCCATCCCACTGCACACCCACTGTTTTTACAAAATTGAGTCCCCTTGGACCAAGGATGCTCCAGACTAAACAAAGATAAAATCCCTTAATCCCTTTGGTAGAAGAAGGATTTTAAAGATTTTTCCTCTATTTCCCCATTGGGTCCCGCCACTCTAGAACAACCACTGTTTATAAAAAATTGAGAGCCCTTTGCCCAAGGATGCTCCAGACCAAATTTAGTCAAAACCCACTGAGCCGTTAAGGACTAGTAGTGTTTTAAAGGAAAAGTTGACGGACGATGGACAATGCGCCATGGCAGAAGCTCACTTGCCCTTTTGGCATGCCTTCACGATGCATTGACAATGATGGTAAACAAAGCCTAACCCAATGGTTCTAAATTTACTGAAATATGTACAAAACGTGTGTAGAGAAATAGTGCACACCAAGTCAATAGATTCCTTCTCTTGGCATATAAATTACTTAAAGATAAAAAAAAACACCGTAGAATCTTTGTCAACAATAATATCAACTGATCAAGTGACATGTTCTTATCTGCATGTCATACTTGAACATACTTGCCAGGTCTCTGTAGTTGGAGGAAGACTCCCAATTGAGTCAACGATGCTTTTTTGCTCTTTTCATTAATTGCAAATAACAGCTTAAGGTATGGCATTCACCATTGTAGAATATTAATGTATCCATTAATGTTTTACCATGCAGTTTCTATACTATCTGAAAGGTTGACTAGTATTCTTTAATATGATACTAATGTATTTTGTCATGCAAGTATTGACGTCAATGCTCTTAATTCTTGTAAATGTACGTCTCCAGTGATAAGTTGTTTGACTAATCAGCAGTATTACACATTTATCTATGCAAATATGTTAAATCACAAATAAATAAATCTACAACGTTTGGAAAGTATTACCATGCAATATTGTTGGATAATATAGTATTAGATGTATTACTCCCATATATACAAGCAACTAATCGTTTACGGGACAGACACACTTTAAAAATAATGCCGTTGTTCAATCAATATGAGTCATGGGTTTGCCTTTCATACATTAAACACTACCTGAGTAAAACCCTCTTGTACATGCATATATAATATCAATGATCTTGAAACTCTTTAGATTTTAAACAGTTGCCTGTTCATTAAAAAATGTCAATTTTTAAAATTTAATTCCTTGGTAAATCCAAAAATTATACTAGATGTGTTGCTTAATTAATATCATACTATTTAAAACTTCTTACATATCATAGACATTATCTGTGGTCTGTTTTCACACAATGTCATAGTTTAGCTTTTCTGATAGTTATCAGTCCAATCCAATCCAATCCAATCCAATTGGATTTGTTTATTTTGGAAAAAAGATATGCACTGTAGGTTTGATATTTTGATTGGTGAAATTGCTTTTTCATTCACATGAATACAACTTTAATTAGTTTTCCACCATCAATATTGGCTAGAAATACATTAAATATTGTTAAAACAGTGTTGGTCAGAAGAAAGTTATAAGTCAATCTCACCATGAATTGTTTGTATTATTGTTGTGACTTTATCATTATTACCTGTAGAGAAATCATCCTACAACAGAATGGACTTATTCTATACTAATTAAATGTACAAGTATTTGTTATTTTCTTTTAAAAAAACAAATTTTTATTGAAGTTTTTCTTAAATCATCAATTTTTATTATTTTAGGTATTTTTCAAACATTTTTTTTTTATTTATATGCAATTAAATTATATGATCAAACAGACTTAATAATTAAAGATTTAGTTTTCATACCATGATTACATGTGAACGACTTACAAGCATAGTTACTTCTTTATTTGAGTGTTTTGTTATTTTATTTACCTAGTTCAGACAGTGAACAGCAGCCTATGACAGCAACTGGAGCAGGAAATGTAAGATGGGCAGAATCAAAAGCTCTCAGAACAGTGTTCAATACTGCGTAACTCTTACGCTCAGTATACCATAATATAAGACTATATATATATCGAAATGTCGATGACAGACTTCTTGACTAATCAGCTATACATGCACATTCCATACACATGCTGAGAATATTACTAGGCTATTTATGGACCATTATAATGTTTACCTTTAACATCTTGAAATGTTCCTTTCGCTTTATAGGTTAACACAAATAAAATAAATGTGATGAATAAAACTAAAAGGAGCAATAAAAAATTAAATGCTTCATGAACATTTTAACCCTTTCACCACTGTACCCCAAAATGAACTCATCCATATCAATATCAATGCATGGTAGAGTCTATTAAAGCTACATAGGGGTGAAAGGGTTAACACTTGAAAATTTGTTAAAATGTTCATTGTTCCAAGTTTAAATTGATACAATGAAAAAACACATAACTACATGTCCTGTCGGCCACTCTCTGGGGTAACCTTAACAGGATTTAAAGTGCTTTGATACTTCAACTGACTGGAAAATAACATAAAGCAAAATTATAAAAAGTAAATGCACTTAGATGAAAAGATGAACACTTTCTAAGGTGTGTAGTGTAATGTTATACTACTACTTTGTAGTAATGCACACAATCCCTGCATCAGGAGTAACACATCTAAGATGGCTTGGCATATAACTTCCAGAAACTTAAAGAATATTTTTGTTTTCTTATTATAACAACACTATTAAAAATATTGAATAGGAAACTCTGATCCCTAAAATGGAAAGAAATCGTTATTTGGTATAATAGGCTATAGGGAGAGACAAGGTGTATGAACACCTGTGATTAAAACCGAGTTACAAAGCTGAAAACTGATTCCATCTATAGAACACTAATGACTAAACCCAATATATGCAATAAATGTATTTTTGAAAGAAATACTGATATGAACAAAATAAATGTTCATTTCATGTAGAAAAAAATGGATTGATGTAATGCTATACATGTATAAATATGTTTTAACATAACAGTATTTCTCAAACGTAATGTTGTTATTGTTTTAAATTTGATTTAAGAAATTGAATTTATCAATTTTTGTTAATGAAACAGGATCAATTTGTTCAAAGTCTTTTGATTAAATAGGCTAAAGGTTACAGGAGTGTACTTGGGATTTTGTTGTAGGAATTGCACACACTTTGTTCTAATAAGGATGTTTAATATCACAAGAGTAGGGTAGTGTGGGAACTGATGTTTAACCACAGGAACAAGTAGTAATTATTAGATCTACACCTGAAGACCTACACCTGCCGACCCAGTGTTATTATTACTAGTACCATCATTAAGAAGACTTAGTAATTATAAGTCAATGCAGAACTTCGGTTCATGGATTTAAAGAGAACAAAGTGTGAAGAAAATAATATTTCTCACATTAGTTAAGCCCACATATTCCATCATTTCTAGTAATACTACTTTCATGAACTCTAAGAAAAGTCAAGTGAAATAGTTTGCATATCCGGCATCCATTCAAAAAAGAGAATAGAAAAGAATCTCCAAATTAAGATAAGGCACTAAATTTGAATTCAGATAAAATGCACAACCAAATAAGAATTTTGTGAGAAGGTTGAAATATTAGGTGCATGGAGAGACAATACACTGTATATATAGGTGTTGTACCACAGCAGACACCATCACCCGCAGCATGATGTACCAGCTTGTCCTACAAAATGCATGCTCACCTAAACATTAACAGTTATTATAAGTTTGCAGATTGTAGACAAGGTAGTTTTAGCACAATTGGATTGAAGTTTAAAAAAAAATCCTTATAATATTTTTTTCCATAGTTTTTTGTCTGATGGGTTCTTTTGGTCATTTCTTAAAACAGAATTTTGAACAGTTGTGTGATTTTGACAAATGTCATTCAAAACACTTTTACACAGACATTTAATAGTAGAAACGATTTTATGTCTATAATATATCCATGTGTTTATCTGACTGTACAAGCTGTGGTGACAATGTAGCAACTGGCACTTCATATACAGTGTACGACTTTATCAAACTCACTGTACTGGAAAATCCTGCTGATCTAGGTATATTGGACGCACTCTAGATAGGACAAAATATATACTATTCATATCAAAGGCCACCATTATACAACAAGAATAGATACAGTTTTCATGAAAAGGGCCCAAATGATATAGATTGTATATCAGTTGTGGCATCCTCACAATAGGATGGGCTGATCCTGGCGAAGGAATGTACCAGTAAAGGGATGAATTGGGATTTGGTATTATGTCTATGCAGTTTTCTTAATTTCTTTTTGATACATTCCCAGTGAGGTTAAGACTGCTGCACCATGAGATTGACATCAAACATATTTTACAACTGTTGTTACTGAGCAAAATACAAAATTCATGATTGACAGTTAACCCTTTCACCCCTATGTAACTTTAGAAGACTCTGCCATGCATTGATATGGATGAGTCCATTTTGATCTACAGTGGTGAAAGGGTTAACTTGGTGAATTCCAAAAGTAGGTGCTGTTAACAATTTTAAATGATTTTACTTTATGTCAAGTATGGCACAAACAGACATTTTTTTAAAGACCCGAGCCCAGCTTTTAATTTCTGCTGAGGTGGATCGACTAATAAAATTACCTTAACATTGGTGCTGCATAGATCTGTGAGAAAGACCTACTTCCCACAACCAACAGATCAGATGGTAAATATAAACTACTTCAGATTGAAATTATAAAATCTTGCAAAGTACATACGTAGTATAACTGGTCAATCTCTGAGAATTACTTTTCCTAGATAGAAGTCCTAAAATTAATGGCGGTTTCAATTCTGAACAAACATAATGCTTAATGCAAATCACTGGTGAAATTAATTACACATATCATATCAATTACCTTGGACTCTTCTTGTCTCTTTGTGAGCTCCATTTGACGACGAGACATCAACCACTTATCTTGGTATTTGTGTTCTAGGAGGTCAAAAATTGGTGTAGAAGGTCTGGAAAATAAATCATCCATGAATATATGTGTTCATTTTTTCAAAATATAAAATTATCAATATCAACATTGTAACACTAGAATAAAAGAGGACTGGGTAAGTAAACCAACAGAAGGCACTAATTTTGACATCCTACAGGTTATATAGTGGTCTGTGGTCTTTGGTACAGGAATCGGCGGTGGATACCAAGAGTATTCAGTACAGCTCCTCCTATGTGAAATGAACACCAAGGATTCCTTTTCTGTAGATGATTTAAACAGTTCCAAGGAAGGTTTGCCAATACCTTACAAAACACATTAAAGCAACAAAAAGTCAACTGTAACCTGAACACATGTATAGCTATTAACCCTTTCACCACTGTAGACCAAAATGGACTCATCCAGATCAATGCATGGTAGAGTCTACTTCAGTTACATAGGGGTGAAAGGGTTAAACAGCAATGATACCTAGTAGTACTAATCACATATACATGTATATATCAGCATCGTTATATACCTTGTGGAGATTCCAAACACCATTGTGGGGGGTATCCTTCGTGTACGGCTTCGTGTGTTTTCATCGCCAGCTGTCTTCCTCCTTACATCATGAGTTGCTCTGAATTTGTAGTTTTCTGATGAAGTGACGAGACCAGCCTGTACAGCAGCTTTGTTCAATACCATGAAATCTCGGTCAGTTTTCTTCTCCTTACGGCTGAAGGGCAGTGTTGTTGTTGCCATGTTTGGTCTCATTGGCGGCCATCCATGTAAAGCTGGAAAGAGTTGGAGAACAAATTACATTTACAGGGTCTAAAAGTCTATAAAATACCAGTGATTTAACATCACTTAACATTAGATTGACATAATGCCTCAGACGTTAAATTACAATTCAACAGTGCATAAACATGCACACACATTGGAGAATTGCTACTTTCTGTTATTTTTTAAAAATGTATTATGTGATGTCTGTTAACATTTTAAATGTAATTAGGATGTCAACAAGATACAAAATGCATTGCAAACCAATGTCACCAATTTAAAAGAAAAGGAAAAAATTATTGAGAAACCTATGACCTTTTAACCCTTTCACCCTTAGGTAACTTTAGTAGACTCAACCATACATTTATCTGGAAGACAGTTATCAAAGATTTATAAGCCGGCCCATACATAAAACACACTGCTGTTGATCTTTCAAAAGGATAATTCTTGTTTACAAATACCTATTCCAATGAAAGGTCTCGACTTATGTTATCAATTATATTACAGTTTGTAAATCAAAGGAATAGTTGCATACATATCTAGTTGCCTAGTAATATTCTTTCTCATGACTCATAATACAGCGGGAAAGTGTCGTACTGTTATAAAGTAGGAAAAGTTACTGCACCAATGTAACAAGTATTTTAATAATAAAACTGTAAAATCTTTATTTCTCCCCTCAGTATATTAGTTTTAAACATCTTTATAACTTTCCTGCTTAACCCTTTCACCCCTATATAACTTTAGTAGGCTCTACCATGCATTGATCTGGATGAGTCCATTATGGTCCACAGTGGTGAAAGGGTTAATGTCAAACTGAAGAAAAATGGTGATCATGCTCTATGCTGTTAAGTTCCCCTAAGGCCCTCCTATTGGTTACTTTAATAAAAATAATAAATAATGATAAATCTTGAATAGGGACATGTTGGAAAGAGGGGAGAGTAGGTTGACTTAGATAGGTACACAATACTGTATTGACACTGTACTTATGGACTGATATATATATATACTTGATAAAGCTGATAATAAGTTTGGAGAGGCATCATATTTCAAACTGTACTGGGAGCAAAGTAAACAGAATTACATTGACTATGGGGATTAGGGTGTTGACTTTTGCTTTTAACATGTTGATCATATTTACTGTAAGTATTAACTATCACAGTTTTAGATGTATACATTCTTTGTATACTTTTAATTCTTTTTTATTGCAACAAATATAATTTGGTTAAGTTGGATGGAGGAAAAATCTGCATAAAGACCTAATTTGGTATTTAAGGTATATATATAAAATTACTATCCAGGAAATGATATGAAAACATTTTTCATAGATTTTGTCAAATTCAAATAATTCATTTTTCGTCTCAAATGTGTTCTAAATACAGCAAGGTCAGGTACTTTTTATAATTCTTAGAAAGACACACCGGTAGTCATTCAAATTTCAAGGTAGGAGTCCAGATATATTTCTCCTAGCTACATGATTTCAAGATTTTAACCTTGTTTTATCTGTTCTTAAACATTGTAATATACTCTCAGTTATGAAAGCAAAAAATAAGTATGTACATGTATGTAACTAACCAATGTAAAAATAGCATTTTATAAAAATAATCAATATCTGGTATGTTCAGTGAAGACAGTATTATGGTATCCCGTGATGTAGTTTCCCCACAGTTAACCTTTTTTCTCAGTTTGAGAATGAAAAATATGACTGCATCAATTGTATACATCATAATTTCCAAATGGACCAACAAAAACAATGGTTTTTTTTCTACTGTTATACATCTCTCTCTCTCTCTCTCTCTCTTAAATTTCTTAACCCTTTCACCACCATAGACCATAATGGACTCATCCCAATAAATGCATGGTAGAGTCCATTAAAGTTACCTAGGGTTGAAAGGGTTAACTACTAGATTATGAATAGAAAAGATCATAATGGGATACTTGTCAAAGAAACATCCACATAAGAGAAATGACAAGGAACCATCTAAATGTTTGCAATCATCAATATCTTGATATTACAGGTTAAACTTTGATATTATTCTCTCATAATTGTCCTTGTCTCATGATTGGTGTTCCTATGACGTGAAAGTATCAATCTTGACTGGAAATAGCAATCATTAAGGCACAAGAACATACTTATCCGTAGATGATACAATCAGGTGGCATTGACTAGACTTACAAGTTGGAGGATTGAAATGAACTTCTATTCACAGATAAATAAAAAGACTTAGGGAACCAGTGTCACTACTAAACTATGGATAACAAACTTTCATCTAATGCTCATATAGCTGATTTTTTTTTTATAAAGCCAATCCAATTATGCAAGTGACTAGAAGAATGATGGAATATATGGACTGTAGTACATTCGAAGCAATATATATACAAATGACTACAAATGTCAGGTCTACCTCATTTGGAATATGGCATGCGACCAAGTGTGGAGCCTGCATCTAATTAAACATATTATAAAGTTAATTGAAAGGGTCCAGAGAAGGGCCCCTAAGATAATACTAGGAATGGCAGACCTGCCCTATGCAGACAGACTTAAAAACTCTTGCAGCTCCCAACTTAAGTTTTAATACAGACATATCAGAGGAGAAATTATGATCAAACTTATTAAAATCCTGACAGGAAAATATGATCCTGAGGTGACCAATTTCATAATATGCAATAAGAATATTACTGCTGCAAAGAGCCATGAGCACAAACTATACAAAGAGAGAACCCGCGTCACCAGTAAGTTGGATACATATCTTTATTAGCTGACTAGTAAGTTTCGCCTCTTGGTACGAGGCTTCATCCGGATACTTTTACACATCAATCTTCCCCCGAAGTACTTTTTGGGGGATTCAGTTTGATTTGTGATGTGTTATACGATAGGTGTGGTTTTACAATTGATATGGGCAGATAACCCCCCTTATTCATAATTAAAACTTTACAGGACTATTCTTTATCTGTTGATTGCTATAGAATTTTTGTGTTAATTAATAAGTTCATCTTGTTAATAAAATTTATGTTAATAAAATGGTTCATATAATAAATGTGTTTTTTCCTAATTTTTGGCAAAGTTCTCTCTTCACTTTTAGTTCATCTTGGCATACTGTGGCATTGGGTACAGACGCAGGCGCCAAAATCTAGTAATCCACCCATACTTCCAGTAGGTCGGTTGCACTATTGCTTGCTATAGAGGTGTCAAAGGATGAGTCATTGCTCAGCATCAGGTCTTAGGATATCCATAGGATCCTTTTGTACATTAGGAGGCACGGTAGTCTAGTGGTAGGACGCTGGGCTTGTGACCGAAGGGTTGCGGGTTAGAGTCAGGGTACGGCACTGTGTTGTATCTTTGAGCAACATACTTTACTCCGCTTGTTCCAGTCTACTGTAAATGAGTATGTGATTGGGCAGTGCTAGAATTGTTGAATGCTAGCTGTAAGCGCCGAAATGGCAACTCCGGCTGTATGCTCCCCAAGGAGTCGAGAAAGGTATTGGCTGGTTGCAAAGGCCCTATAACCACAGATAATAATTTGTGAACCACTTTGAGACAACCTACGAACTAGGTTGTGATAAAGCGGTATATAAGAACCTTGAATTATTATTATTATTATTACATGTGCAGGTTTCTCACATTTTGGTTCTGGTCCCTGGATGGTAGTGTTGGATGCCGATCTAACTAAATTTAACGTTTCCCAATGTTACTTTGTAAATGCCTCAATAGGCTTATGCCATTTGTTCGGTACTGCAGCTTCCTTTCTGATGTTGTCCTTGATGATCTCTGGTTCGAATCTGTGGAACGATTGTTTCTCTACGAGGTGATGGTCGTAGAGATCCCCCGTCCATAAGTACGTCTGCACATTTATAGCAAGTGCTGATTTGGTTTCCGTGGATACGGCTTGCATGTCTTTTTAATGAGCTTTGTGTACGTAGGATGTGAATCCAACTTTCCTCTGTACGTAAATGTGCTGCGACTGAATTTCGTTCATCTTCGCAGGCTATATCATATATGTGGTTTCGTATGCAGGTGTTAATAGTAGTTGACATTTAATTTATCCTACATATTGTAACTGGAATTTCTTACAACTGATGAGATAGATTGCATTGGTGGTGTGACAGTCTTAATCTTGTGAGATTTTTGTGTGGTATAGCTAATATACAAGTCTTTAGTGTTCATATGTCTACATATTCTACAGTTTTTACTGCACGGGAGGCTGCCCGAGGGTCCGTGTTCTTTAAACACATTGCTGTGGACCAGAAAGTTCCTCAGTTTTCCGGGCTTAGTATATACATGTGTGCTACTATTTCGAAGTAAAGGACACGTGTAATGACTTGAACTGTCAATACTTACATCCAAACTATTATAATCTGTCATTCAGAATCACTGCTGAAGTGACATGTCCATGATTATGTAACAATGATTATATACTCATTTGTCTTTAATTGTACTGAGCCGACAGCAGGGGATTTTCTAGTCCTATACAGTAGTCAGAATAAATCTTTGTATCTGTATGACACAGTCACACACACCCAATCCAGTTTCAATTGACATCTTAAAAAGTGGAAGTTATGAGAGGACAATTTAAATGTGATTATTTACCATCATCAGCACCTCCTAGACGGGGTTCTAGGGGTCGACCGTAAACAAAATGGTCTGGTGGAGCCGAGCTGTATCCTCTTCTTTTGGGTCTTCCTAATTGTGTCTGTTAAAGAGAATGTTAATAAAACACAATGTCATCAAAAGAAATTTACCATCAATAAAAATATGTACATTTCAAGGAACAAACATGTTGTGCATTCCTAGGTTTTTTTGGATTGCACATTTAATGTTTCTAATATATATTCAAGTCGGATGAGGAAGACTGTCTAGTTCTGGAAATAAAGACAGAGTAACATTTCGATCAGGTGGGAATGGGGAAAAAAGTGAAAATTCACATCATTATACTCTGATCGTAATTACTTAATCAAAAAGCAATTCTTTAGAATATTATATCATCATGGTCGATCTAATGATTGAACGAAAGCATCTGTCGTGATCCGTGAAAAAAATAAACTTACTCTTAACAACAATTCATTGCTTAGCATCGTGTCTCTGTTTTCTCCAAGTTCTCCTGTCGCTGTGTAAGCGAAGGGATTCTGAGACATAATCTCCGCTGCCATGTCTGATATTATCTGTGAAGTTAAATGCCCTCCTGTTGTTAGAATGATTGTTTATAGAAAATATTACACCGTACAGGAAGCCATGTACATTATCACCATAGTGACAATAATCAATCTCCAACTTCCGGTTGAACGCCACCTGGCTGAATCGCCGGTATATGAATCCCGGTATATATGAAGGGGAGTAACTCTAGATCTGCTAAAACCTATCGGGGTGGTAATACAGAGAAACCCAGCTAACATCTCTGCTGATCTGTCAGCAGGCTTTATATATTTATTGTGTGACAGGGCAAACACTTTAATTGTTCCAACCACATACACAATGGAGTTAGCAGAAAACTTTTAATTTACGTTTGCAAATTGCCCTAGACGATATCAATAAACATTAAAGAGCACAGGAGCCTGTTAAACATTAATAATTACAGAATCAAATACAAAAATACCTATAATATGCTAAACAAATAGACGCATATTATAGGTATTCTTTGTATTACTGTTAATATTAATATTTGACAGAATTTCAGGCTCCTGTGACAATAGGAGGCTTATAGAATCGCAACATTTAACGACGAAAAGCTTTTCGGCAAGGTTATTCAAATCAGAGACGTATAATGTCCCTGTTGAAATACACGTAACACGGTTATATATGACGGAATACTCTGTATCATGCTTTTTAGTGTTCAACGTAGAATAAAAAGATACCATGATGTAAAAAAATAGAGCTTCTAAATACGAAATTACAATTATAATTATGTATATTTATATTATGAGATGGCTGTAAAAGGATTGTAATTCATGTACATATTTTATGTATGTTGTCAGAACAAACCTGTGCATCTGTAAATATAAGATATATTTTCTATAAATCAAATATATCCAACGACATAAACTTTTAACACATTTTGGGGAACATGATAGGTGTACATTACAGACTATAACCTATAAACGTTCACACTAAATACAAACAAAGACACTTTGCTCGTGTTATTATTGTTTATCCAAATAAGCCTTCTAAGATAATAATACTCCACGATAATGACATCATGATTTGCCCATTTCACCTCCGTTAAATATCAGAAATGTGTATTAATGTACAAAGGATTAATTACCTCGCTCCGAACTGTGTCGCGATGATGTTCGAATTATGTCAAATATATGCCACTTATGAACACAACTCTCTATGCCAAATGTATGCCACTTATGAACACACCTCTCTATGTCAAATGTATGCCACTCATGAACACAACTCTCTATGTCAAATGTATGCCACTTATGAACACAACTCTCTATGCCAAATGTATGTCACTTATGAACACAACTCTCTATGTCAAATGTATGCCACTTATGAACACAACTCTCTGTGTCAAATGTATGCCACTTATGAACACAACTCTCTATGTCAAATTTACTACTCATGAACACACTCTGCTTAGTTGTTGTCCAAACTGCGCGTCTTTTATAGGAAATAGTTTCTTCCTTATAACTTTGTTGTAAATATTTGGTGTTTATTCTATTGTAATACATGCTTGACTGCATTGTTTTTTCAAATACAATCGTACGTAAAATGCATTTTGGAAGATCCTAAAACGTTTTTAAATAAAGTTATTACTAAAAGCACAATAAACATCATCAGTTGTTATATAGATATATGGGTGGTCGGGTGGTGCAGTGGGTAGCGCACTTGCCTTTCACCAAGGCGGTCGGGGTTAGATTCTTTTGACATTGAAAATGAAAGGCTAGTGATCTGTTATCTAGTCTAAAAAGATGTGAGAGCAAATCCACAATGTGTAACAACTATTCGCCCAATACTAGTTTATGTCCAGTGCATTAGCCAACAATTCCCTGCTTAAAGTTTCGCGTACTATATCATACAGTCAACTGTTTTGCTGACATGTATAACCACCTTTTAAGTATATGATTCTGTAAATGTTTATAGAATACATTTTCACACCTGTAGCGACTTTCATTTACTACACAACAATGTATAGAGATGCACACATACAACTAACCTGTAATGCGTTCATGATACACACAGGTGACTAGGTCGCCATACTCAATATGTTCTTTACAGAGGCTAGGAAGACTAAGACCATTTCAAGTTGATTTTATTTACACATACATACATTTAAATTACGTTTACTCAGATATATAAAAACAAAGCACCTATACAGTCAAAATCTTTTCCATACAGTTCTTATTTCTAAACATCCTCACATCAAGACAATCAATATCCCATCCGTTACCTTTTTACATTTTTTCTCAATACTGAGTGTCAATGTCAATAACATATATTTTTTGTCTTTTTTTTTAATGTGAAATATCCACGAAATAAAACAAGAAACGTTGACAAAAAGTGGTCATCTGGCTGTTGTAAAGTTTTCGTGTGATCTTAAATATCGAGAGAAAGAGAGTAAAAACATCAATAATTTCCAGTATGGGAGTCCCAAGTGTCATTGATACTATGTGCTAGTAAGTCGTTGATGGAGTTCAAGCTTTGGAGTACGGCATGTTCTCGTCATAACGTCGACAGACCTTTGTCAAGTCTCTGTTAAAGATCTCAGTACTGGACCAATGAGTGTCGTCCTCACCAACTGTTTATAACATTACAAACAGGCCTTTGTTAAAGTTCCCATTATGGAGTGTTCTCATTGACAGTTTAAAATTGTGGCAGATCTTTGTTAAAAGTTAGTAGTACAGGATCAGCGAGTGTTTTCAAAGACTTGTATAACGTCATTAGGTCTTTGTTCAAGTTCCCAGTATGGCACCAACGAATGTCCTCACTGACAGTTTATACACATTGCAGATAGACGTTTGTTAAATGTTATAACGGTGACAGTTCATTGATAAAGATTCCAGTATGCGACCATCGAGTGTTTTCATCAACAGGCCCAGTATGGGTAACCAAGTGTATTCATCGACTGTTTATAACGTTGGCAGGTCTCTGTTATGTTCCAGGTAAAGGACCACGGAGTGTTCTCACTTCACTCTCATTTAACGGAAGCCGAGTGTCTCTTATAACGATACAAGATACTTAGATAGTATTAAGACAATGAGAAACTATCTTCACCTAGACAATGAAGTCCTGCTAAAAAACTGTAAGCTTTTTATGATTGAAGCGATTCTGTTTGTGTTGTTGGATAGCACTGCCTGACGTCATCAGACGCTGTAGGTAGTTTTCCGTCGACGTGATCTTTTGTCGGACCCTGCTGGCCATGTTCTTGTCTCTGTAAGTAGACAACATCACCGATCGCATTTACACACTACACATAGACTTGCTGTTAAATGATTCAAAGAGGGACCGAGAAATGGCCAAAATGACAGAAAACCTATCACCAAGTACCTACTGCTTACTGACTAAACCACCAAAAGATGGATGCAAATGAATCAAAATCCATTCAATCCTATACTTAATCAAGTTGACATGACAAGTTATTGGAAATTTGGCGGAACACTTTTAACCTTTTCTCAGTGTTTCATAATGAAGTGTCAAGCGTATGTGACCTCAAATACGTACCTACGCCGACTTATCAAGTAAAAAATTTATAAAAGAACGCTCGACCAAATAAGTTTCATCTGCTGTCGTGAAGGACGATTCCTCTACCACGATAGTGAAAGGGTAAATGCTCGGGGTAGGAGAAACTAGGACGGGGGGACATACAACAGTCATTTTAAACTGGACGATATATAGCGTCAATGTTGTAAGGAATTCACAATCATGGTTGTTCAACACTATTTCTGAAATTTTAGAAACAACAAGAACTCTTACTTTTTTTTTTTTAAATTTGAAAACCTAGTGTCTTTATACAGTTTGAAACTTACTTAACCTTTTCACCCCTGTGTAACTTTAGTAGACTCTACCGTGCATTGATATGGATGAGTCCATTATGGTGTACAGTGGTTAAAGGGTTAACAAGAGTTAGATAAACATGATAATCAACCATTACGAGTTTGGGGAACTTCTATTTATCTCAGTCATGTACTTAGTGGTGGCAATAAGCATATCCAGATTAAACGTACCTTAGTTCGTTCCGTGCTAAAGATACCTTCAACTTTTCTAATTCCCTTTTCACATTTTTTATTTCTTCGTCTGTTTTCATCAACTGAAAAATAAATATACAGTATAGCAATGCTGTTCTCCTAATGACTGACACGAATAGCCACATACTACACGTAACTGGGGTACGCGTCGATCCAAATGAATGTATACAATACACGAAGCACCGGATTTTATAAGTTTAAAATCAGAAAACGGAGAAAACGAATGAAATAATGGTTGAACGATAAATCTGCATAAAAAGCACGACTTACTTGGATGTTTAGATGCCTCTCAGACTTGGCTTTAAGGTCCTGCTCGGATATATTGCGGTTGGCGCTACTGGAACTTGACTCACTGCTGGGTTTATTCTGATCATGTGACACCAGGTCCTTCAGGTTTCCTAGAAAAGATATATACGATTAAAGGTTAACTAACTCGAAGTCTGTTTGGTATGCTTCCGGATGCTGATTGCAAGGTGCCCAGTGTTCAAATATATGTAATGCCGATAGCCGACAATCGAATCGTCATAAAACGTGACACCAGTCCTGCCAACCACCTAACGCTACGACTATAACACCACGAACACGTACTTTTCTATACAAGAGTATGTACACAGCACACAAATTAGTCTGGTTAGCCTCAGACTCGGGGGGGGGGGGGGGGGGGGGGGGCACAGATTGTTATCCATTCTACATATTTAAGAAATTCGCCAACTTTAAAAAAAAAAAAATCGAGAAAAGAGTTTTAATTCCCCAGCGTTGATTTTCTGTCCTTAATTTCAAGACGACTCATCGGGTCATAATTAGGACTCACAATACAGGGTCTGAACTACATATACATACAAAGTGCACGTTGAATAACATATACTTTTAAACTGTATGACGGACTGTTGAACACTATTTATATTGTACATTGCATGAAGTGCTTTTGAGTATTTTCATAAAGTATAAAGGGCACTAGGTAGAAGATGTGTTAAGTTCTGTGTCACTTCAATTTTGTCCTGTTTTGTTTTACTGTGTTATCATATGTTTTATAACAAATAGTCTGAAGACAATACAGTCCGTAACAGCAAGGACAGTCAATATATTCTCCCACACTTCAAAGATGCATTCCAGCTTTGCTAGTGGAAGGACAAACCTGCTCTTACCTACTTCATTAAGGACAGTAACACGCGTAATTATTCTTAAACCGTCATCATCGCGTTATCACTTTGTGCAGCATAACCAGGTTCGTATCATCAAGTTTTTAACCAAAGCATCATCCTTAACTTCAAAGTATTCACCCTCGGGTTGAGGTTTCTCTGCCCACATCACCTAAGATTGATATATTCTATAAGTTACACTGGTGCAGTCAGCAATAGCAAGGACTAATATACTTAACCCTGAGTCTGTAAACAACAGCAAAATAAAAGGACAAGTAATTTGGTCGCATTGACTCCCCACACAATACAAGGAAAGCCATAAGAGCGCACTGACTCTGTCCTCAGGAGTTGCACAGATAAGTAAAGTAAAGGATATATAGTAGCACTGATTCTGTCCATAACACCAAGGAACAGCAGCACTCATCCCACTTAGTACGTTAAACGTAGATTGCAATGAGGGTCTGGTACTTCACATACATATCTGAACGTCCCAAACTGAATAACAGCACGGCGTTAATGTATTCCTGTCTGCTGTAAGGTCTCAAGCTCAGCAGATTCATGTAACAACATACTATCGCGTCTGGAGACGTGATCCTTCCGAGATAAACAACACCTCTCCGAGACAATGAAAAAATGAATTTTCCAAAGCAATGCTAAAAATTACATCTCTACTAGATAATGAGTTAAATAACATCGCTCCGAGATAATGAGATAGATACCGTCTTGATAACATCGCTCCGAGATAAAGAAATAGATACCGTCTCGCCTAGATAATGAGATAAATAACATCGCTCTGAGATAAAGAGATAAATAACATCGCTCCGAGATAAAGAGATAAATAACATCGCTCCGAGATAAAGAGATAAATACCGTCTCGCCTAGATAATGAGATAGATACCGTCTTGATAACATCGCTCCGAGATAAACAAATAGATACCGTCTCGCCTAGATAATGAGATAAATAACATCGCTCCGAGATAAAGCGATAGATACCGTCTTGCCTAGATAATGAGATAAATAACATCGATCCGAGATAAAGAGATAAATAACATCGCTCCGAGATAATGAGATAGATACCGTCTCGCCTAGATGATAAGATAAATAACATCTCGCCTAGATAATGAGATAAATAGTATTTCGTCTATATAAATAAGATAAATTACAACTCTCCGATACAACATAAGTTATATCTTAGAAATGATTAAAAGGAATAAATGTCAATGTGAAGCCTGTCAATATAGATAAAATAGGACATTATCGACCGCAGCTTTCATCCTTCGAAGGGCTCTTCAGGTTTATTTCAGAAGGGCAACGTCAGGATACCACAGTTACGTGTTATCCCACTACAATAGTAACGTGACGTCACAATGTACTTATTTTTTAAGTAACAATACAATTTACAACACCACAGCACCTCAAGAGAATGAAATAAGAAACACTTCGCCTAGAAAGGGAGACTAAAACACTTCTAGGAGATAATAAAATCAACAATATCTCTCGGAGATTGTGTGAGAATAAATAACACCCTTCTAACACATCCCTTTTGAAATAACACCAAATAAAGAGGCAGCAGGCAAAATCTTTTAAGACATTTTTGTCCAAAAATATCTTATTCATTCGACGCTTGTTTTTATTGATCACTAAAGGAACCTCATCTCATTCACACAAAACAACCACGGGTTTGCATTATGTATGTATCTTATATAGAGTACGCAATCAACAGCATAACGGGATTAAATATTCATTGATGTATGACTCGGTGACCTAATTAGTTCAAGTGCACACTGTTGTAATATGTTGGCATACTATGGCTCAAAATGTTACCCCATATCACTACCACAATGGCCAGTGTTCATATTGGTGGCAAAATTAGTCGTTCTGTTGCCTTATCTCATTATTCCGGGGTTTTCACAGCAATAGAGATTGCAGAACGTTCCCATAAATATTTTTTAACAGTCAGACACGGGGCGAATAGCGCATGTACTGGCCAAATACCACAACCCAGGGATTTAATGAACTGTAAATATAGCCCACGTTGGCATTTTACCCTAGCCAACGTTCGAAGTTGACATTGAAACTCAACACAATAAAAGAATAATAAAAAAAGGTTTGTCTACATAATATACCTAAGTATGATTTTTCTAGACATTGGTTTCCGTCAGTTAATGTTGTTTGTCAAGGTTAATTTTATTAAGACACACTTAAGTAATCCATCAAAAGTACCTACTAATGGCTAAAAGTCGGGATCCTCGGTATTATGACACTGAAGATTCTTTTTAAAACCTTTAACCTTGTAAAGCCCATGTTGACTTTTGACTCCAGTCAGCGATCTCTAGATGCTCGAAATCAATTCCTAAATTAATATCAACTACGATAGCTATCCTAACCGTTTGTTTCGGCTGCACTCTATTATCCCCCAGTTTTCTTATCGTGCGCATACCGTGCAGACTTGCTCCACACACCGCATATTGGGGAATGTTTTGGATCCAAAAACTATAGATCCTATTGTGAAAGTCTTTCAACATATTTGACCCTTGTGACGTTGAAAATAGGTCAATGTCATATATATATAAAGCAAGTTTACAGCAATCCATCCTGCTGGCCAAATACTCTTAGTGTTATAAAACTAAAGAAGATTTAAAATTTTATACTCTCTATAGCCATTGTTGACCTTTGTCCCAAGCAAGCGCTGGGTGTGACCATTTACAACCAATAACTAAAAGATTCACATTGCTGATCTACATATGGTACGATAGTACCATGGCTCTACACCGTAGATATTGACTCTGGGTATTTTTGTTTTCGTGCCAGGCGAGCTGAAACATTACATTTTGAAGCGACGTTGTTAGAACGGTAATATTGTACCTTGCGTTTCATCTGATAACACCACGAGTTAATAATTGCTCAAGTACATGACAAAGAATCATAATTTATTAAGTTATTAAAAGTGCCGATCACCGTTACACACATATTCAACTGTAGCTTTTTCAATATTGTCTCTTCCAGCGGGTAAAAGGCCCAGACAACAAACTTCAATATAAGCGACTTTCATTTGCTATCTCCACCGATCCATTCTTTATGATTAACTTACATAAATGTATAGCAACATTTCAATGGGTTATTATATATCCCCAGTGGTAAGGGAAATTCAATGCATTATTCTAGACAAACATGCTCACTCATAATTTATTCTTCACAAACATACAAAGGTATACAACACAAATATTCGTCCGTCTACGTTTACATCACAAAGAGGAACAAAATCAGTTACCTTGATCTCTAGATATCTATTAATGTTGTACAACATTAAACTACGTTTTATGAGCCAACGCAATACAGTGCACAACCCTTTACTTTGATTTAAAAGGAGATACAATGTATTCATGTTTGTTTACTTAGAGACAGGATTTCTTTTCATGGGAACTTTCCTCGTGTGAATGAACCAGGACAATAATGCGAAATTAAATATATAATACCGAGCAAAGTCACTGTGAAATGACATTTTCGTACGCACTACTCATCTTGTTGTAGCTAACATGCAGTGTGTCTTCAGAACATTCACATTGCAACACGAATCGTTCTACTGTTTTAATATTAGAGTATAATTCGAGTAAGCTCACTTGGAAACATTCCGATAATTATGGAAAGTTTAGATAATATATTAGGATTCATCTCAAATGTAATGGGGATGACATTTCATCGAGGGATGATAGCACACAATGTAGCAGGCTTTAGATTGTTAAACCACATTCGGTTAAAATATTGTACATATTTCTCGTGGAACTGTTAAATAACAAGGCACTACAAACGATACAAATCTCCTTGCTTAAATAGAGTGATTACGTATTAGATACATTGAAAAGCACTTAACTAAATATGTATCACAAGGTATATTAAGCTTCATCATCTGACAATAAAATCCGTATTCCACTATTTGATCAAAATCAGTTCACAAAATATTTTCTAAAAATACTGTAGCAATGACTTTGACCCTGGTCTTGACCTTGATATCCTTAAAAATTATTCATTTTAATACACTATTGCCTGACAAAGATAGATACAAATCTGTTCAAAAATAAAGTCACTAGAGAGGCAAAACTTTTTTTGATGAAAAATAACGTTGCTCTTAACCTTGACATTTTGAAACACAAACTCGTCCGATGTTTACTTGTTTTGATATTTTCATGAAGTTTTGTAATCTGTTCAGAAATTAAGTCATTAGAGCGATGACAAAAGGCACACATAGATAACATATACGAAAGGAAAGCCTCGACGACCCTTTCGCCTCGGGAATTACATAGCTCATTATTTAATAATAAATAATACAACATCCACCATTATTGGGAAGAAGGAAAGGAAAAGGATACTACACTGTAGTACCCAGCTGTAACTACCAAGATACCAATTGTAGTTTTGCTACCATATATACATCTTGAGGAAAACACTCAAAATAGAACTGCTGACAACTTCTATACGGTATCAATGATAACGCTGCTACAACGAAATTACTTCGAAGATTGAGAAGCGTTAGACTGTAAGTAATGGCACCAGCATACAGCCTCATGATATATGTATGTGGCAAGGGCCGTTGTACCAAACCGTTCGCGCGTGAACTGAAGGCACTGACTGGGGAGCTGCAATCATGCCAACAACGTAGTCGATAATCCATTCACAGGTTAGGTGACAGCGTAAAAAAAATCTATGACTGCCTTCACACTCCTTGAATGGCTGGATTGATATGATATTATTTAGAACGCTGTTGAAACCTCTGACCATGCGGTTTATTGTGTTGCCGAATAAACAGTGCTACAGATAAGGCCGACACCCTGTAGGAATCGTCAGTTCGGAGGAATAAGACAGAATGCCTAATAACATTTATATTAAACGGATACATTTTGATACAGATTGGTTCTTTTGCTTGCTTGATTTCCCATGCATACTTTGCACAAACCATTGTACTGATGGGCTCTCTCTAACGCACAGACAGACCACGTACCCCCTATCTCAGCAAACAGTGCAAACGGCTTGCATTGCGACACACAGCTTTGACCAATGGATAATAAGGGCCAGTAGCCGAAAACACATCCAGATACACAGGATACCGTGCTGGAGACCCAGGAGACATCATGGACTCAGTGTTTCTGCTTCCAGGTTATTATGTATAAACGAATAGATTCAATCATTATATCTGGAGATGGACAGTGTGGTTATAATGTACTGGGTATTTATCGCTGGTAGACGCGTTCGACGCTTTGCACACACACACACAACACCATGCTATATTGATGTAAACCGCCCGCTCATACTCAGATGGCTTCGACAAACAGCGCGGACATCGTATATATTTATTACTTTATTACACATAAAGCTTAAGCAAAATGGACATCACCGACTTGGTCTACCTATTGGACGCGTAGGAAATTTATTTTGCGTTGCATTATCCTGACAAGTATGCTTTTTACTATGTGGAATATCATCTTACAGTGATATCGACTTTATGTGATGTCATAAGCTGTCGAAATACCTTATGCCAACTAGGATTTGACGATCATCATTTGTTTTAATTCATTGAAATATCATGAAAACGACGAACAGACAGATCACAACACGGAAGCAGCCGACTGCTCACATTACCACTGTGGATATCATCTGGGAACAGCTCGGAGTGCACGGAAGCATGACAGGCCTGTGTGCCACCTGTGATGTTCCCTGCTGCAAGATCCAGATAAGCGGACGATCACTTTGTTAATACTAGCCTCCAGTATTGACGTGTGATATTTATACGTCAACGTTATACCATCACATTGAACGGGCATTCTATAGGATCTGACTCCGGACATAGGCTTCTCAACTCCTATGATTCCGTACAGGACGCAGCAGTCACGGAGTACTTTAGATTAGGTAAGAATAGTGTTTGATCAAATATACATAAAATTGTTTAAGTGTTAAAAATTCTTTGATGAATGTAATAAGTAACAGGGTGCTTATAATGTCTACGTTAAGGTGTGTAAATGTGTACATTTTATTAAGTTTGTTCTCTCAGTGATGATGGGCGTGTCAATGAGCGAATATACTGGATATTACATTGACAATCCTGCTAGTATTGACACTTATGCACAGGGTTACTAAATAACCCAGACTAAGTGTGGTATTAACCAATATCGCACATGACCATATCAATAATAATCAATACACACAAAACGAAGTCTGCGACGCAGTAAAGACTTTGCCCAGCATTATCTACCGGAGATGCCCCAGCTCGGGTCACAACTGCTACTGTATATAATCATGCAGTGCAAATACGGGGGACGACATTAATTTTGCCGTCTTGTTCTAGTGGCAGGTTTACATTAAAGAATCTTGTTCTGGTGGCAGTAACATTAAAGGAATGAAGCAAATGAAGCAAATATATTGAACGAATTTCGCCCGACACTCGCAATTTGTTACCAGCAAGTATCAATGACGGGGGAAATCGATAGCTGTTCCCTCTATATATAATCTATTTCAGGCATTCTTTCACCTCGTGATTTAACATATAACATGGCTTGGGGAATTGTGAAATATATAAATAAATGTCACAGAACAACAGTTGATTCCAATGAGATAGTGATAAATATCAGACACGCCATATACGTGTATTTCAATATGCATTTACCTCCTTAGCTCAAAAGTGGATTAAAATAACGCACAAAATATGGACTTGCTTTTGAAGAGACAAATTGAAAGTAAAATACGTCTGGGTAAATATTAAATTACACCTTAAATCATAATTAATTATTCCACGGCATCTGTAGTCTTTCATTTGCGGTACAGTCTGTGTTTGAATAAGACATACTGACGTGACTAAATAAGCAAACACGCACAAGTTTAGATTGGAAAGCCTGATAAGCAGCAACTACGGAAATAAATGATAAAAAAATAACGAAATACTATCAGCGTGGAGCGACAGTGAAAAAATTGTCAATTGTATCTAGAGGCGGATAGAAGGATATATTACAATCAAGGATAGATTACGTAAAACAAGAGGCCCAATGGGCCTGCATCGCTCACCTGTTATTAATCTAACACTTGTAATCTTAAGATTTCATAAGAACCTAGTAAAAGGTTTAAACATATGACGCCTCTGACCTTGATTGTCGAACAAGGACATTAGGTTGAAAGTGGATCAAGGTCCTTCATTTGAACAAACTTGGTAGTCCTTCATCCAAGCATGCTACAGGCCCAATTTCAGTACCCTGGCCCTTTTGCTTATTGAAAAGAAGTCGCTTGAAGAATTTACGACATTTGACCCATGTGACCTTGAAAGTTGGTCAAGGTCATTCATTTGAACAAACTTGGTAGCCCTTCATCCCAGCATGCTACAGGCCCAATATCAGTACCCTGGGCCTTTTGGTTATTGAGAAGAAGTTGTTTGAAGATTTTAAGACATCTGACCCCAGTGACCTTGAAAGTGTGTCAATGTCATTCATTTAAACAAACTTGGTAGCCCTTCATCCCAGCATGCTACAGGCCCAATATCAGTACCCTGGGCCTTTTGGTTATTGAGAAGAAGTCGTTTGAAGATTTTATGACATTTGACCCCTTTGACCTTTGAAGGTTGGTCAANATCAGTACCCTGGGCCTTTTGGTTATTGAGAAGTTGTTTGAAGATTTTAACATATTTCAACCCCTGTGACCTTGAAAGTTGGTCAAGGTCATTTATTTGAACAAACTTGGTAGCCCTTCATCCAAGCATGCTACAGGCCCAATATCAGTACAATGGGCCTTTTGGTTATTGAGAAGAAGTTGTTTGAAGATTTAAGACATCTGACCCCTGTGACCTTGAACGTGGGTCAAGGTCATTTATTTGAACAAACTTGGTAGCCCTTCATCCCAGTATGCTACAGGCCCAATATCAGTACCCTGGGCCTTTTAGTTATTGAGAAGAAGTTGTTTGAAGATTTTAACATATTTGACCCCTGTGACCTTGAAAGTGGGTCAATGTCATTTATTTGAACAAACTAGGTAGCCCTTGATCCCAGCATGCTACTGGCCAAATATCATCTTCCTAGGCCTTTTGGTTACCGAAAAGAAGTTGTTTAAAGCAAAAAGTTGACGCCGGACAGACGGACGACGGGCGCCGCACCATAACATAAGCTCACTTGCCCTTCGGGCAGGTGAGCTAACTAGTTTGATTAACTACATATGAATTACATCTGTATACCCCAAATATGGAGATATTACTTCAGTTCTCTATCCTATAAGATAGAAAATACCTAGTACTTGATTAATTAATTAAAGCTAGACTTGACGACAATAGAGAAAGAAAATATAGTATTCCAATAGTAACCTCACAAGTGATATATTAGGTTCCTCAAAACAGGCCCTGTGGTCAACGGTAACCGCTATCAAGTTAACCAAAGTTCGTAATTTCAAGTACACTAGCTCTTTTAGAAATTACCCATTTTGAATTGTAACAATCATCAAGAGTTCACATTCTTTTTCTTCTTCTACTTTTACAAAGCTATCCTGTATTTTACTAAACAAAAATTCCATGCAATCAAATTTGTAATATCGAAATCCAAGTAAAACAAAGTTTTCCGATGGTATAAACGAGTGTACAGCATATACAACTGTATGCTACCAACTACCATACTATTTTCAATGGATATTTTTTCCGCAATAAATGCTTTTTATGCAATTTATTTATCTCCTGACCCAAAATGATAATATTTTCGACAGTGTACCAAGGCCATGTCTTTAAATGGATGTTTTATCAGTATTTGATTATCTAAGAATTTTGCTTTCATGTTTGGGACATAACAATTAAATCACTTTTTTCGAGTTATCCGGGTCGAGTGTCCTGTCTGATTGCAATCTATGTATAGAAAGAAGGAATTGAAATAGAGGCATTCAAGTTAAAACTACCAAGTAGATAGTTGAATATAATTATAGTACTGCAACTATAACGGCTGCAGTTTTATAAATTGAAACAAGGAAATGCATTGTACACTCTATATACTAAAATCTTCTAGTAAAGCTACATTGGCTTTGTAAAACGTGCAGGTCTACGAAACGACTTTACATACATATTCGATTATAAATACATGTATAACTAAAATTCTATCTAACATCAAATAGATACATGATATATGGAGTTTACAAGACGTTAAAATGGAAATCAAGATGACAAATAAATCGATGACATGTAACTCTAGAAGTAGTTCATCCACTGAATGGCTAGCAGGTTCCATTAGATCTCTGCTGCGATGTGAAGCGACGTCATTAAACCATGGCCAGCCATCGTAATAAAATATATCATAGGGTTGTTATACAATTAATTTCGATCCGGCCAACTGTACAGTTGGTTACGAATGGAATTAGCAGCTACTAATTTTCTCTACAGTTAGAAACATCAGGCTAACGAGCCTCCTTTACATTAGGAACGAAAGGCCAACGAGCCTTCTCTACGTTAAAAACGTCAGACTATAAGCCCCCTCTTCATAAGGGACGTCAGACTAACGAACTCTCTTTCTAAAGAGCCTCCTCTACAGTTAGGGACGTCAGGCTAACAAGCCCTCTCTCTGAAGAGCTTCCTCTACATTAGGGACGTTATGCTAACATATCCCCTCTTTACTAGGGACGCTAGGCTAGACATTTTCTCTCGGGCAAACGACACTTTCCCTGTAGAAGGGATATGGGACTACAGTGACATCATCTAGGAACGTCAGGATAACGAGATTTTTTCTTCGTTAGGGACGTTAGGTTAACAAAACGTTCTCTACAATACGGACATCAGACCTACACGATTTTCTCTTCAGTAGGAATGTCAGTCTAACGAGATATTCGCCGACAGCAGGGACAGGCTTATGGAACGTTCTGTACAGTAAGGATGTCGAAATAAGATTCTTTTAACGGTGAGAAAATCAGCCTTACTGGATTTTCTCTTCGTTACGATCGTAAGGCTAAGGAGGAGGTACCAACGTCATGCTAACATGAGTTTGCCTTCAACAGGGCCATTAGGCTAACACAATTTTCTCTTGTGTTGATACATCAGACTAACGATACTTCCGCTATAGAAGGGCGATCACGATAACAAAACAGTCTCTATAGTAAAGACATTTGGCCAGACAGTGCTGTCACGAGAATATTACAAAACAAAAACAAAAGCCATGTCCTTATTGTATTGCTGACTGGTGATCTAACTGTAATAATTACCAGCTATGGTCACTGTAATGGCAGTCAAACCTATTAAATTACCATCCAGAGAGATAATCATTTCCTCAAAAATCCATTCCAGATTGACCCATGGGAGACCGAATATCTCCCGTTCACAGAAAAGAATGACGTAGTACAGACCCATTTAGTGATAATTGGCGTTTTCTGTTATCCTTTATTATCCTTTAACAGTGCAGGATGTTTACATCAAAGGTTTAAAGCAATTTTACATAACCTTGGTGGAATGGGAGTGTGAAACTCATCAGACGTTTAACATAGAATATGAAAAAGTCAAAATACAGTTCATGTGCTTTTAAAATCAGCATAGAATCTGTAGGATAATGGAAATGTCTGCAGAATAATGGAATATCATGAAAACATTGTAAAACCCCAGTAATGAATAAAAAAGTAAAGTTTCATGGAGATTATTAATAACTAACGGGAACAGTGTGTATAGGTCCAGGAATTCCGTAGGAATAAGCACTTTAGTGGCGACACTCGCTATGTAAATATAGGTTAAGTACAAGTAATGCTGCGTCCTGCAAATGAGATCCGGGGTACAGATAACGATGCTACAAGGCACAATAATCCACATAATAAAAAGCATCGCCCTTTTTAAAGGGATGCCATGTTTAAGAAAGGGACAGTTCACGATCGGGAAATCGAAACCAATACTCTTCTCGTTCATCGCAATAGTAAGCCGTCTCTGTTGGTCATCTGGTTATAAAAGAGATCGAGTTGAGCAGCTGTCGTGTTATAACAAAATGATCGGTTCGCCATTTGCCTGTCTTGTCAGAGAAAGCACCCATTATAAGAAAACGAAGGTATGATAGTTAAAAAATTGAAAAGTCTATAAAGTTCTAGGAGAAGGAAACACGATTTGAGGTAAAGATGCTTAAAATTGATCAATTGTCATTTGAGACCGTCTAACAACACACAATCAATTCCATGTCTGGAGTATACCTATTTTCAATACGAGTGTAACCTTTATTCAATGGTAGTAAGAATAATATAAAAACTGTTGATGATAGCCTTAAAGCACCTTGCAGATCTAGAGATAATAAGTTGTTTAATATATATATGGATTCTTGTGAAGTTTGATAATCCAATACTAAGGAGACAGTGTCGGATGTTTATCATTGATCGGTATTTGGAAAGATGACAACACAGACGTTTGATTTGCTAGCTAGTGTTTTGCCTGTCAAAACTGTAATAGCTTGGCACTTTTAGGAAAAATTGTTCAAAAGAAACAATGCATTTGTACCTTTCATGTTCAAAGATATCATTTCATACACAAGATAAGACAGTAACACAAAAGACAATATGTCATTTTACTCGGAAATGTTTTTTATCTCTCTTTGTCATTTTATGAACATGTCCGATGGGTCTGTATCGCTCACCTGTTTTTCATCTTGCATCCACGACATAGACCAGTTCGAATGTATTCAAATAGGCTAAAATAACCCCTACTTTACAAATTATAGTTCTTTGTTTGAAAATCGTACTATCTGATAGTTTTACACTTCTGTGGAAAACGTTTACTTTCTGTCATAATCTGACCTTCATAGATGGTTTGGGTCATTCATCCAGATCCAATACATCATAGCTACAGGTAAAACATAATAGCCTTTGGACTCTTGGTTACTCAGAATTGGCCGTTTAAAGATTTAAACACATTTGACCTTTGTGACCTTAAAATGTGTCAAGGTCTTTCAAAAGAATAAAGTTGATAGACATCTAATTAAAAACAAATAGCATCACCCTATGTCACTTGGTTATTTTGTCGGGCTCCATCCTGGAAGCTAGCTACTTAATATCATGCCTTTAAATTCTTCTTAAAAAGTCATTTAAAGGAAAAGTTGACGGACAACCGACGAACGCCACGCCATAGCACAAGCTCACTTGCCCTGCAGGCAGGTGTGCTAAATGTACTATTCTCTCACTGGTATATGTACTTTTTAATATTTAAGGTTACTTGTGACGAAAGTTACACACAATGGACATTTCTGAATATAATTATATTGAAGAAATAAAGATGAACCTTAAAGCAGTAAGGATAGACATCAGTTACAGATCAACACACTTTCAGAAAAATCCATACCACTATAACATACATGAAAAGGGTTTCACGAATCTCCGATATAAACAGCGTGAGATATTCAGCATGTGAATCTCCTTACGAAGCTGGGATAAACTTTCTCTATACTCCGAGTTATGTAAAACTGTCAACAATTTGTGGGCGAAAACAAACTTATCACTACATCATATTTTGAATCCAAATGTTACAAAAATGAAACCACGATAAAACGTGATGTGCATTCTAATATTTACATGCATGCTTGAAATGTCAACAGGAGTATTAAGCATGCATACAAGGGGGAGTTTGCACGTCAATAGGAAACCTTTCTCAATAGTAACAAGATAGTACGTAAATATTAACTCTTTCATAAGCATTTGTTCTTCTCATTTGTTAACGTGTTTATAACCTAATTTACTGCAGGGGAGGACATTAATAACAAGGCATTTTAACTTGGAATCAAGAATCATCGACATTTTTCCTACACAGAGAAATCCCTTTATGAACAGTGGGTTTAATTTAGGGGTTTTACGTACCTGTCACTGTTCCACCGGTAGCTTTAACTATTTTAAGTTAATTATAATATTGCATATATTGTAATTATGTTGTATGTAATGTACGTCTTTTAATATGCTTGACCATATGGGAAACGAGTATTTGACTCAATATGTAAACAAGTTTAAATAAAGACTATTATTATTATTATTATAAAAAAATTATGACGTACTGCCTTTCAATAGATGTCTCGGCGTGGGAGTTATTTCGGTATAACACGTTGACAGTTTTAAGCAATCAACGTCAGTTTTGATATTTAATATAGGATCAACAGAAACACGTTCGTATATTGAGTACAACAAGGTATAAGACGTACAACACACCAGCGAAATCGATGATTTCACCATTTAGGAAGGAATTACATTCATGCTATTGTTCCATAGTAAATAAGAAAAAAAGATATTTTAGCTTTAAGAAAAACATACACATTGCTTATCAGAGTATGATCACCCGCTTACATTTTTAAACATTTACAATATTTCACTTAATTTTCATCATCAAAAAATTCAAACAAGTAGTAACTGCCATCTTTGAACGATTTATATGAAGACATTAATTGTAAAAAATTTAATAAGAATTTTCATTTCTCTTTGTAGTCCGTTTAACTGGGAGTTCATCTTTCATAAACAACATGGATCACCCGCCAACCTCCGACCCCGGCTGTACAACTCCTCCATTGTCGCAAATCATCTGCTGCAAACTCTGCTTCAGCGTCTATAAAAGTCCCAAGCTGCTTCCGTGCCTTCATAGTTTTTGCTGTTTGTGCCTGTCCAACCACTGTGATCGCAATGTCTCCCAGGGCAAGGCCACGGTATGTCCCTCTTGCTCCGAACCCTTCGATGTGCCGGAGCAAGGCATTGCCAGCCTGCCTAATAATGTGGTGCTACAGAGGGCAATTTTATCAAATGTAAATCAAGTGAAGATAAAATCGCCCCCTCACTATAGAAATCGGTCAGTCACCAATTCTGACTCGTTGACTTTCAGTGATACATCCATTGGGTCAGAATTAAAAAAATGTTCTTCTAACAGGGGCAGTACAGACATCATTTCAGCTGAGGGAATGTTTCAAAGGGAAAACTCTTCGGAAAATGCTGAAAATGATCAGAGTGGAAAAGCAGCTGAAAACGACCTCGTTTTCATGGAAAATAGTGTTGTTCAACATGATAACGTTACGACAGTGTGTCAGTCAACACAGGAGAATGATAAGTCAAAACTCGAAGACAGAAGACAAACGCCAAATCAATCGAATCTTACATCACCGTCTACAGAAACAGACGCTTCTTTGTTTCAACAGGAACACCAAAAGATGGTTAAAAGTTGCTCGGAGTTTAGCAACTTTTCAATAGGTAGTCTAAAGTTTGAGCCCCCACAAGATTATGCGGACATTACAGAAGATTGTTATACAGATAATGACAATACTGCCATCTCTTCAGTAAACCACGACCCTATTATTGAAGAACATAAACAACGCGATCGAATAAAGGATGAGTTGGCAGGTTTTCAAACCGAAGCACTGGGCATTGTTTATTCCATCGACAATTTGAATAAAGAAAAAGAAAGATGTATTCAACAAAAACAGAACCTACATTATCAAATACAACAGCGGTCAGCTCGCTTACAAGGCTTGATAAAGGGTTGGGAAAGACAACTTCTGCTGCAGGTTGAGGCCCATTGGCACGATATAAATATGACTGAAGTCATTGAGAAGTACAAGTCTTACATGCACAACAGATTAAAAGGCATACTAGCTATGACAGACTTGGCCAGAATGTTACTTGATCACGGTCTCAGTGAAGAACTACCTGTATTTGAGGAAATGATTAAAAACAGAAAGCAAAAACTAAACGGACAGAAATTATCGTTTGAGAAGCCTTACATGAAATTCAGTATACCTGCAGATGAGGATGTGGTTGTGGAAAATCTATTCGGTAGTCTTAATGTTCTGAGGAAATCTGAAAGCTATTGGGAGTTCTGCCCAGCTACCCAAATCCCAACGGCAACGTCCGGCATTGATGAACAGGTGAACAACAGGAGCATATCGGAGCCTATATCCGGGAAGATTATATCACAAACAGATTCCCAAACATCAAAATCTGACATTAAGGGCAAATCCGTTGGTTCTACATTAGCATGCAGATCACCGTCAATAGAAAAATTAAAAGAAGACCGACTTTCTACAAAACGAAGTAGAAGCTCATCAACAAGACGAAGTTTCTCGAAGCAAATGAGCCCTTCTCATCCCAGAAGCAGACGACAGTCTATGGAATCACCAACATCTGAGGATGTTAAAATTTCAGGTGGGCCGTTTACTAAGCCTGTCCTACATGCAAAAAGTCCTGTACGTCAAATGCACAGAGGAAACTCTAGGGGATATCAAGTGTCAGATCAATCTGTGTTTTCACCTCCCTCTTCTCCAACTAAGCTAGGTAAAACATCTGACTGTACACTAGATTTCTCATCAGGAAACCGACGAAATACCGAAGGAAGCATTCAAATTGACTGGGAAAGAGACTTTATAAACACAATTGAACAAGAAGCAAACCGCTATTCTGACAGCAGTAGAGACACTGCTGTTTTGAATGAAAGTGATCGACGTGGCCAAATTGATGACGATGTCCAACACACTCGACGTATGCTTGCCATGTGCAAAAAACAGCTTCTGGAAGCACAGACGGAGTCCAACCCTTTGTTACAATTTTCATCACACGACGTTCACACTGGAAGTCTTCCCTCATCTCCAAGAGAACGTTTCGATCATTTGAAATTTTCTGCTCGTAAAAAGTCTATTAAGTGGAGATCAGAGTCACGTGACAGTATATCCAGTCTTGATGGTGATTAAAATAACGTATATAAGTGTACTGATGTATGTTGACAAAGAGAGCATTCTGTATTATATTCTTGTATACAGGTAAATTACACATGATTATTTACTGCGTTACATGCTTCATGCTTTAAAGAACTAAATATTTCCTCTCAAATTAATATATTCTCAAAATATTAAAAAATATATTAAACAGCACACAAAAAATTATGTATTTTTAATGTAAAACTTCTCAAGTGCCTAGTGCAAGTTATGCTCTTTGCAATAGAAATTACTATTTATCATTGATAGTCATACAAATCAATCCGTTAATGTGCCAAAAACCGATCATAACCAAAAAGATGACTTTTTTTTAAAAAAAATATTGAAATATTGAACTTAATTGAAAACATCTGAACGAAATATGTTAAAACCTAATACCAGTATCAATATTAATTCCACTAAGTGTATTGATCAATGTTGTTGTTTTCAATATTTTACCAGCTTTTTATATAAAACAAATAAAGCAACTAAATAAAAAAAACTGTTTCTACTATGGGTCAAACTGATATTTGACTTTTAAATACGTTGTTATCATGCTTTTTATACATGAAAACAGGCAAAGACATAATCAATGCATTAATGACATGGTAAACTAGTATTGCCAAGTTGTGGTTTTATTCTTTTGGAAATTATTGTTTTACTGGTGGTGTTTGTAAACTTCTTTGAATCTGGATAGAAACATATAACCAATGCACTTTCTGTATGTTGGATAATGAAATATTGCCGGAAATCTCACCCATTCTCCAGTAAAACGGTTATAACACGATGATTATAATGGGATCACATCCTTAGCCATATTATCCTTGAGGAAAAAGTTGATGATTATTTTTCAAGCTATTTCACCTCTTTTTGTTAGGATCTTATAATTTTCATACCATCAAACTTACACCTATCCGATGATATTGATTTGAATAATTTTCTAAAGGAATTATACAAATTGTCCCCAAAAGTTTTGTTTTTTTCCTCGAACAATGTGTGTATTATACTATATTATATTATACGTTTTCGAAATGGGAATGGGTAACTCAGGTGCACAGAAATTCCCTATATTGATAAAGCATGTTACCACGTTTTCATCCATAAAGAGAACTTGATACAATTTGCTTTTGTATTCATTATTCATACACATATAAAATTGTATCAATACTGAGCACAAACCAAACAAATACTTGCAATATACTTAATTCATCTACTTCACATATAGTCAAATCCCAAACTTTTTGATCATTGTATTTCTTCAGCAAAATAGAAAATAAGTTACTTCATTCATTGATATTTTTTTCTCGTAAAAATATTCAATGTGATGGTGTTTTTCTCAGCAAATGGAAAATAAGTTATTTCATTTTGCTATTTTAAATTCCTGTAAACTAATTTGTTTTTGTTAGTTTACAAAGCATGCTTTCCTGTAAAGAAAATCAATACGTAGTTCCTTAAATGATACGATGTGAATGAGTACTGATTTCGGATGTAATATTCAGACAATCTGATATCATCAGTAACTCTATAAAGTTGATCATTTCTGCATGTGTAATTTTTTTTTTCACTATTGGAAAACATGACCATATCAAATTAAGATGTGTGATGAGTCTACAGTTCTACTATGTGTACTACAACAGCTAATACACAAGATAAGGTCATTTTGATAACGGGGTGTATTTCACGATGTCAAAACAAATAGCGGAAAATTATTGGACCATTTACTTCCAGGTGATGCCATGGGTGTGTATACGTAAGTGTGTACGTTATTATTACACCTAGGTCCTCGAGAACAAAACCAATAAAGTGGTAGTTTAAAGAAGGTATTGACAATTTTCAGCTAATAGAAAATCTTGGATTTACAGTGTTTTCTTAAATTGTTTAATTAACTGTGTTTAAGAATGATAGTATCTATCTAAAATCATTAACCACCTTGAAACTATTTTGCCTATCTGCAGATTGTAAAAAGGCAAAATTCTTATATTTGAAAAGGATATTAGCCCGAATATTTTAGAGAATGATAATGAAAGAATCCCGTAGTATAATGATATAAGTAGATACATAATATCATACTTTTTACAGTTACTAGTTTTAGTACTTCAAAATATATTATTAAATAAATAAATACATGGGTGTTATTATCAACCCTAACTAAATAAATACATGGTGTTATTTTCAACCCTTTCTAAATAAATACATGGTGTTATTATCAACCCTTTCTAAATAAAAATACATGGTGTTATTATCAACCCTTTCTAAATAAATACATGGTGTTATTATCAACCCTTTCTAAATAAATACATGGTGTTATTTTCAAACTAGTTGTTTGTTGTTTTATGTTTTGCCAGAGGTTTGCAAAAATGTAAAATTCTAAATGAGAATCATCAATCTAAAAAGAAAATGTAGTATGTATATGACTTGTTAAGTGTTGTTGAATATTGAATGTATATTTAATTCACAGAAAATATACTTCTGCAACATTGGTGACCTTACAAAAGGCGTGAGATATAAACCCTGTATTTTTCGCCCTTCTGAGTGGACGGTGAACAGGACTTTTGATTTTTACAATATTCCATGAAATATAAACACCCTAGAGTTTGCGCAAGGAACAAAAATTTGGAAATTTGGATGTAAAACTGAAGCACGATTCTGGTATCACAGCCAATAAGTGTTTCTATGTTATGTTTCGATGACTAGTACTGTATGTACTCTGTCACTTTCAGACAAATGACCACAAAGGTGTAAAATGTGTACGAGTTGTCCATAGATCAATGTTGATTTTGCTATGCTAAAAGCGTATGCACAATTAGTTATCCAATCCACAAAGTATTGGACAGAGAGAGCAATCTGTCCAAGCAACAGATACAGGAATCCATCTGGATACACTGCAGTGGGCCAGTTCTAAATCAAGATGATGGGGCTCATAGACTCTCGCACATCTATGACCAAGTACTAAACAAAGTTTAGCTGAATCGAGTCATTTCAGTACATGTATAACAACTACCTCGGTAATTGTACATACGCTTACAGCGTAGCCAAAACGACATCAATTTGTTGACAACTCGTACACATTTTACACCTTTGTGTTCATACGCTTCACTGGTCATTTGCCTGATGAAGGTGACAGAGTATATACCGTACTAGTCATCGAAACATCACATAGAAACACTTACTGGTTGTGTTACAAGAATTGTTTCATAATGGATAATCATGGATTAAATATAAAAAAAAAATGTCTCCCCTCTCCTTTACCGGGATACTGATATTCTACATAAAACTGTCTAAACAACACAATACCTTTCTTCCCTCCCAGTCTTCTGTTCATGAAGTCGAAAACATTCTGGTCTTCTGTTTTCATTTTCTCGTAGGCTTGAGCTTGTTTCTTCTCCTGAGCTTTTTGTTTCTTTTCCTTCTTCTTCATGACATCAAATAAGTCCTGTTCTCCAGCCAGCTCTTTTAGCAGCATAATTGTATCTAGAGACTTCCCTGCAATAGACAATACGGTTACAGTAAGAGAGTTAAACTGACAACGGACACATAGAGGTGAAGATGAAAAAGCCTCCAGAAAAAAATTATAATGGAATTTGATGGTAGAATATTTATACCAGCAACTGAAAACAAGAATCTGTTTTCAAACATTACACAAAGGCTCAATTTTATATACGGATGTTCTGTAGAGTTGATTATTTTAGAGTGATCATCTGGGAAAATAATATTTATCGTTGATGCTATTTTTAAGTAAAACTTTCTTCTCTATAACCAGTAAATACCATTTCTTTAAATTCTACAAGTAACACATTTCTTCCCATCTTCCAAATCATATTGGCAACAATATATTTAATTTGATGCCTTCTCTGGAGTATCTGAAGCAGATAAAGTCTTGGGGCAATATTAGATAATGTATACTACCTGGGGGAAGCAGCTGTATCGGAACAGGTTCCACACGACCATCTTCCCTCTTCCCAAGACCCTGACCAAGGACATATCCCATCTTGGCCATCAGTTTGGACCCAATTCCCTGAAATAAGTAATGATAAAGCTCTTTAGAGTCGCCTATTCTGGTTAGATAGGGCCCTTTATCAAATGTTGTATATTTAGCTGTATATTAATAAATGTGCTTACCATACCTTTGCCTAAGCACAGCATAGAATCTTACTATTTTCAGGTTACTATATATCAGTAAGAGCCCTAATCAACAATCAGTGTGGTGCAGATACATGAATAAACACTAACATATCAATGACCCTGATTAATTATACTCCAACACTTCCCAGGGACATTCACAGAGAGAAGATAAAACTGTTTTTACCTAGATCTAGGGAGAGACAGTTCACTTGCGCTATTATTCTGAAAATGTCACCATCTTGTGATCATTTTATGCAGGGTAATTAGGGTAGAACTTTGTCACACATTTCATACACTCTTGATGATGTTGCAGTTTATTATGTTCATCATTACAACATAAATAGGAAAGTGTTGGAGCATCGACACCAAGGATTGCGCCGTAAAGGTAGGTTTTATTTGGTTTACATGTTTCGGATGGCTAGGCCAACCATTCTCAGAACAATTTTACAGTATCATTTACAGAGCTAAGGTGCAAATTATGGTTCGCCATGTGACGTCATAGTAATTGTTAAGTAATCATGTGATATACAATTGTAAAGTTACAGTAGGAAAGTGTAGGAGAAAAATGAACAATCACACAGGCGTGAGAGATTCTATTAATCTATGCTACTGCTACACTTACATGTGTATAAAAGATAAGATTCTTTGCTTTCTGAAGTTGTCCTTCAGATTTGAAAAATTTGGTTTAGGTTCAGGTTTATTAGGCAAATGGATAATTGATGCATAGTAGCTCGAAACTCAAGTACAACACTACCGGTATATACTGCTACACTACAGTAGCTTGTGGAGGATGGTGCTTCAATTGTTTTGTTGTTACTGTAGTATGTTTTTAGTAAAGCTGTCTGATGTGTGTCCCCTGTCCCTGTCAGATTTAAGTGTGTAGTAACCTTTGTGTGAGCTTCCCAGTTTCCCAGAGTCTGTGAGGATTGTGGTGGTTTCCAGAGGTACACAGGTATGTCAAGCTCGTCGTCATCTGATAACGCAGGTGAGGGTACTGCTGATCTGATATCATCCTCAGCGTTTTCCTCCTCATCTGACATCTCTTCTGATTGCTCTAACATCGTAAAGAGAAATTTATCAAATCAAAATAAGAAATCACATGGGCCGTTTTCAGTTAAAGCTATTGAACCTGTCGTACCACAATTGTTCGTTAAATAAATAAGGTCGGACCTAGTAATCTGATGCTACTTTCAGACAAGCCTTGACAAAGCCTTGCAAGGCCTGCATAAACATTTGCAGGTCTGCCAGGATTTATATCCAAAATTGTTACATTTAAAAACGGACAAACCGGTTGTTCTGCATAAACAAAAAGGCTAATGATTAAATCAATAATCTGACTACAAGCTTTTCAGTAACAGTTATTACCTAATGGGATAATGTGTTTTAGGTCCAGTTGGTGAACTCCCTCATATGTATCCATGGTGACACTATACTGGTGGTCATCGTGAAGGTCAACAACCATTGCCTTGTACCACAGGTCATCGTCATATTGAGCAAGACAGCGACTTCCTAAGGTCAAAGCACTACAATGGCAAAGCACAAACTCATCCAAATATTTAGAGGATAAATAGTTGTTTCATTTCAGTGCAATATTGTTTGATCCGTTGGAAACCTCCATGTCAGTTATCAGCGTCCTAGCACAAATACTGAAGATCAAAGTATAGTGAATTTCAGCACCAGGTATGCAAAAACTTTTATCGAGAAATTTTGGCAAAAACAGATCAAAATCTTGCAAAAAAATAACCTTCTCCCACCCTATTTTGACTACTTTGCGTCAACACTTGGCCCCTAGGGAACCTAATGGCATCACACCAATATGCATGTATAATGTTTAAAACTCTTTGTACATACCTGTAATCTGGGTCTTGGAATTCCCTCAAATCATCCAATTCCACTATATGTCCATGTGAAAATCTGATAACCAAAAATAGAGAAACATTTCTAAGAACACATGTACTGAATTTTGTTTGTTTGTTTACAATCTGATATAAAGCTGATGTTGCTGAATGGCCTAGTGAGTAATTACTCTTTTAACTTATGTCCATTCATTCACTATCTCAAAAGTCTGTGACAATGAGATTTGAAATGGAGGGTTAACACAAGCAGCAATTAAGCAATTTGTTCATAAATTCTTGTCAATTCCAAGATAGTATTATTCTTTGTGTAAGATAATAAGATATTTTCAATAAGAAAATTGAAAAACCAAGTGATTAAGATATATTTTCAATAGAATTTTTTTTTTCATCAATCACTTACACATGCTTTTCTTAATTTTAGTTTATATTACAAAAAAATGGAGGTTAATGCTTTAACGTCTTGAGAAAACAAAATCATCAGACTAAGTTGTCAGTGTTAGTTTAAGTACTTGCCTGCATTTCTGATCGGAGAATTTACAGTTTCCCTCCAGGTGGTAAGTACACGGCAGCATGGACATGTGAGTAGGGTTGCAGAACATCACCGTCACCTGGGTGACAAGTACACATACATGACTTTACATCAGAGGACAGACACATGTACCAGGTGATGATCAAGAAATTCATCACCCATGTCATTTTCCCCAATCTATTTCAGTTACAATATTCAAATGAAATTTACAGCAAAAATGTCCACACATGTACTTCAAAAAGGTACATATTATTTTTCACACAAATGTAGAAAAGGAATTTTGTACATCTTTAACTTTGCTAAGCCTTGCAACATACTCATATCCACACCTATCCTAGGTATGAATGAAAATGTGTATGTGACATATGGTATTGATCCTTACTTTCCAGAGTGGAACTTACCACGGGGAATTACAAAATTTACAGTTTTTGGCAATGATTATCTTGAACATCAAACATGCCCATATTCAAACTTATCTAAGGTATGTCCAAGACAAACACATATATGGAGCTTCATCAAAATCTATTTAAGAAATATGACTGCTACAAGAGTGATGACAAGGAGTGTGATATACAGACAGGCTGATGATGGACAGACAGGCTGATGATGGACAGACAGATGGGGAAAAAATAGTAAGACTAGAAAATGTCTAAGACATAAATACCCCCGCTCATGGATGGGACGGGACGGACATGGGCAACACTATATGCCCCCCCATTTTATGGAGGAGCATAAACATATGATATGAAATAGACTATTAAGCACTTCCTGAGGAATGTAATTTATATTTTACTTGTGTGGCGGAATATTTAAATTTTTCAATTGTGATGGCACACTATTATATGTAAGTAATATTCAAGTATTTTGTTATACTTGTCAAATATATATATTAAGGTATTCTATGAGAAACCATTAAATATCCTTATAGCTTTGCAAAGCCTGTCAAGGCCTGTAGATGTATTTACAGGTGGATCACAGTAACACAAAATCACCACAAGTAAATGCCACACACTGAATAAAGGGAGATAACCAGACAAACATGCATACCTTTGGCATTAGATCTGTGGATGTAGCAGGTATCAATCCGGATATGATGGCGTTGTGGCAGCTGAGGGCTCCCCACTCGTGAACAAATGGAGCCCGACACTTCATTCCTATCATCTGTTTTAACTCTTCATCAGTCTGCTGGGGAAGGGCCACATGTCCTGGGGAGTCTGATGCTGTCTGTGTTGAGTTTTCATTAGGATCGCTCACATCCTCTGACAACATTGCCTTTAAGGAAGATAACAGGACTATGTTGCTATCAAACATCAATAAATCAAAGCTCATACCAGGAACATATCTCAGCAATATTACCAATACCATACATGAACCATACCTTGACAAATAAGGAATGTGACACTGTACCAATACCATACATGAACCAAACCCTGACAATTAAGGAATGTGACACTGTACCAATACCATACATGAACCAAACCCTGACAAATAAGGAATGTGACACTGTACCAATACCATACATGAACCAAACCCTGACAAATAAGGAATGTGACACTGTACCAATACCATACATGAACCAAACCCTGACAATTAAGGAATGTGACACTGTACCAATACCATACATGAACCAAACCCTGACAAATAAGGAATGTGACACTGTACCAATACCATACATGAACCAAACCCTGACAATTAAGGAATGTGACACTGTACCAATACCATACATGAACCAAACCCTGACAAATAAGGAATGTGACACTGTACCAATACCATACATGAACCAAACCCTGACAATTAAGGAATGTGACACTGTACCAATACCATACATGAACCAAACCCTGACAAATAAGGAATGTGACACTGTACCAATACCATACATGAACCAAACCCTGACAATTAAGGAATGTGACACTGTACCAATACCATACATGAACCAAACCCTGACAAATAAGGAATGTGACACTGTACCAATACCATACATGAACCAAACCCTGACAATTAAGGAATGTGACACTGTACCAATACCATACATGAACCAAACCCTGACAAATAAGGAATGTGACACTGTACCAATACCATACATGAACCAAACCCTGACAATTAAGGAATGTGACACTGTACCAATACCATACATGAACCAAACCCTGACAAATAAGGAATGTGACACTGTACCAATACCATACATGAACCAAACCCTGACAAATAAGGAATGTGACACTGTACCAATACCATACATGAACCAAACCTTGACAAATAAGGAATGTGACACTGTACCAATACCATACATGAACCAAACCCTGAAAATTAAGGAATGTGACATTGTATACTGCTTCAGTGTTGAAGAGTTAAGTTTTAAGGAACAAATTTACAGGGTTTTAAATTTTAGAAAACAACTTTAATAGCCTTGTTAAATAAATGAAGTAATGAATTAATAGCACAGAGTTCACTTTTCAAAGTATTTCACCTACAAAACATATTTTACTTGACAAGGATAATCAATTAACTTTATATGTTAGCAAGAGCTGCCAATATAAACCGCCCCTGATACTTAAGGTTTGACCTGCACCTAGATACCAGCAAACCAAAGTCCAAAAAGCTGTCAAATTTTGCATCTGTTTATGATAAATGTTACACAATAATATGTAGATGCTTTTTATCTGTTCACCATTATAGCTTTATGTTAAACGAATTCAAAATAGATCCTTATAGGTCTTAGAAATACACTTTCCATCAAGTTGTGGTTGTAGTTAATTACCACCATGAGCGTAGCCCAAATAAATTTCACTTTCAAACCTGTTGAAAAGAAAAGCTATTTACTTTAGAACAATGTTTAATATAAAGGTCCAACTCAAAAAGCCAAGCGCTTGACAGTAAAACTGGTGTTTTAAAGAATGTAAACATCTATAAAACTCACAATCAGGACCGGGTTTTACTAATGGTCGTAAGTCCACACGTAGACGTTAGACATAGACATATGCGTAAATTACGTCAAAAATCTGTTTTACTAAAGGTCGTAACTTTTAGTTGCGTGTAAAGTTACGTGTAAGTCTACGTCTGCCTCTGAACACACGCAAGTTCACACGTAAGGCTACGTCTAACCTTACGATTACATTCGGGGTTACGACTTTTCATAAAACTGACCTTACCCCCACGTAACTAAAATCGTAATTCGACTTATGTCTACGTTTGCGTCTGGACCTACGACATTTAGTAAAACTCAGTCCTGGACATTATTGGGCTTAATGACATAGTTACCTATCAACTTTGTATCATTAATAGTAGTATATAACTCTCTGTACCTGGAAAGCAGCATATTCTGAATCCAGATCATTGGAGCCGTGTGGAGTTTCTTCCCCAGTTACATGAGCGTCTTCTTCCAAAGATTTTAATATGATGCTTTTCTTCAGTGACAGCAGTGATTCTATTCAAAGCATTTATTTTCTTACATTACAAACATAACGAAATAAAAAAAAATAAGAGTTGTTAAAAGTACAACATGATGAAGTGAAGACGTTAAAATGACCAGTCTTTTTGTTCATTTAAAATCATTACAATTTTGTACTATCATATGAATTTTTGTTTTTATATCAAGCTACTTGATTAGGAATTTGAACCATGCATTGTACCTGTTATCCATATGCAAACTATCAATTATAATTTCATGTAGGTATATTCAAGATTTGGACATATACCAAGCTTAATGCCACAAATCAAAAATGGACAGATGAACTTCATTTACAAATTATATTAGTTTATTCATTTGTTTTTAAGAACTTAAATTTGATGAGTATGTTTCATATTTATGACATTTCATACTTTTACATTTTGCATTAAACTGTATAACACAAAATAAATCATTCATTATTATATTATGGCAATATTATTATTGAATTTATTGTATTATTAAACATGTGCAATGTCATGATATATACATGCAGTAAGTTTTAATTATTGCACATACAAAATCAATACCTTCAGTGAGATGAATGAGTTCTTTGAGATCGGACTGCAACTTCAGTAAATCAGCATTTTCTCCCGAAGCACACAAGGCCTGGTCTACTTGGGAAAGCTATATAGAAATACATGCAAATAAATTAATCTACATAAATGCAGTACAGATAAATGTGCTAATGCTGAACTTGCAGGCATGTATATACAAGTTAGGATATGTTACTGAATCAGTTATCAATATCGTATAATTACTATACAGTAGATCTCGACTCACAATTTTTTTTCAGTGTAGCTGAACTATTCAAGACATTTTAATGTTTGTGTAAAATGAGAGGAAAACTGCATAGCCACACCCGGGTTCGAACCTGGGTCCCCCCAAACTCTAGATGGACACTATTCCGGTTCAAATGCAATTGAGCTACCTGGTCGCCGACGAACAACCTGTGGCTAGTCAAACTCCGCTACATTCCTCCCTCCTTTTTCTAAGTCTTCGCCCTCGAAGACACAACTGTTTACAACCCAGGTTCGGGTATCCCCTTGTCAAGCATACATGTGCACCCAATGCTTGAAACAAGAGTTGGTCACAGGCACCACTGTAACAGGAGAGGAAAAATGCACAGCCTGGAGTCACCCAGGGAACTGTCTTAGATCTTAATCAACGACTTGCCATCATCAGTCTCATCAACTACATGACTTTTCGCAGATGACAGACTTTCAGACAGCCTGATGTACAGGAGGATCAAGTCGCCAGAGGACCAGGACATCCTACAGAGAGACCTCAACAAGCTTCAACATTGGGAGGACCAATGGATAATGCAGTTCAACACGGATAAGTGTGAAGTGCTGCGGGTTACAAACTGGAAATCCCCACTGCTTGTTGATTACTCGATCCATGGCCAGGTATGTACTGAACACGTCGACTCTGCAAAATACCTCGGCTGGACATTTCACAAGTCTCAGCTAGGACATGCACATAGACAAGATCACCAAAAAGGCTGACTCAACCTTGGCTTTCCTAGGCAGAAACACCAGCCGATGCCCAACCAACATCAAGGCGCAGTGCTACTCCACGCTAGTGTGACCCACAATCGAATACACCTCTAGCGTTTGGAGCCCAGCTAAGAAGGAGAACATCACCAAAATCGAGGCCATGCAGCGTAGGGCAGCTAGCTTCGCTACTAGAGATTAAGTATACCAGCGCATAAGCAGTGTAACATCTATGCTACAGCAACTCCAGTGGCAGTCACTCCAGACCCGCCGGGTAACAACCCAAGTCGTCATGCTATATAGGATAGTCCATAACCTTGTGGACACCCCAGCAGATAGCTACCTACAGAAGACATCACTGCAGACCTTGTGCCATACACTAGGTCTACAAGACCTCCTCTTCCTCACAGCCATCAGGCTATGTAACAGATTGCCAGGACGAGCGATGGAGGCCGAGAGCCTGAACAGCTTTAATAAGCCTTTAAGACCCAGCTGTCCAGGGCCACCGAACAGTAGACGACTCTATGTTTTTAACATTGTATCCATTTTAGCGTACACTGTACATAGACGCTCACCTCACGCGGAGTGCGAAATTATTTTATTGGTGTTAGACTGAACCGGAAGAAGAAGAACTTACTTGACTTTTATAAAGTTCCAAAGAAGATTCAATGCTGCTTTCATCCATTATTTACGACGCGTTCCTTGGGGAGATGAATTATTTTAAGTTCTAAGCTTGTTTTCCAATCCCTTTGTTATCATATGTATGCAATCAGCATGTTTGAATATTGAATAATTACGATGTAAACAAGGCCTAAACTAACCGACCCGTTAAAAAGTTGTATTTTACATGGGCGCCGCCATATTGACAAAACTAGCAATTACTCTGTTATATGATTAGTTTCGCATTTCAGTCGGGGATCTGCTAAAGATGTGATTTCCAGGTAAATAGTCATGAATAATATGTATAGTCCAGTGTTAGGACAATCACTACCCAAAGTTGTCATTTCTTACACTCACTCACTCACAATATTTCAATATATAATTTCATATTGTAAATTTTATTGTTATTATTGACTAAAAATTGAAATGTTGTCAGTGCAAACGAGATTCAAAGAACATCACAACAAGATACAAGAAGCTTTATTTAACGTCGACTATGGTGAACATTTTAGCGTAAGCTCTCATCAGCTTGTATTTGGACAAACATGATAATATAAATAACAGTAAATATGATACAAGCTAAGACAAACACAATAGATGAAATACAACAAATATCACATGAGCATATATATATTACCATTAAAATGTTAGTTACTCCTATACTAGCCTATAGTATAATTGAGCGTGTATATATAAATATTTTAAATCATACATAAACCATTATAACAAACAAGTATTTACAATAAAATATAATGTAAAAGCTTGATTCATTGTAAATAGTTTAATCCCTGCGCAACCGGAGTCCGTTGCTGGCAGGCTATTCTGCTAGCAACGTATATATACGTATCAAGTCAGAAGAGGAGATTTACACGTCTCCACAAGCTCAAGCTTCCGATCGACGTTCAACAACAACAAATTATACTTCAGCACGTGTTGCATCAAGTGTCCAAGGGTTGGGGAGCCCTCTACCAGCGAGGTCTGCTTAAAGTTTTAACTTTAAGTACTGTATGTGATGAAATTGATATGTATATCTTTCTTAAACTACTGTGATGTGCGCATTAAGACTGGACTTGTATGCTTAAAATTTAACAGAATCAAATTGAGAAAAAAATATGTATTGAACACATATTTTGTAAAATATAACTAGATCTAGTACTGGTAAGATTGTGGTAAGATTTGAAAGCACTAAAATTCATGAAAATATTTAAAAAGTTAAAAAGTAGCCCATAATTTATCACAGATTTCAGGTTATTTTTTCGGTACAGTACTATGTACATGACAGGATAGAACGTCCAGACAGGGTAGACAAGTTTGCAAGGTGTGTTACATTACACACATGGAACACTTACAGCTGAGTCCGTCCCACACATGGAGCTGTCTACGGAAATCCTTATAGTTATCAACCTTTCTTAGGTCGTTGGGCAGACAGTTCCAGATTTGTCTCAAATGTTTTTTATAACTATTCGAGGCGGGCGAAGAAGCTTCAAATCGACGCTGGTCATGTTGCGTTCATAGCCTTATGGATGCAATTTCTTCTGGTAATGCTCAATGAGGAACTTGCAATGGAAATGTAAATATATAAGGATTTTGACGGCGTAGACGGCAGTATGAACGCAGTCAGCAACGAATTCTAAATAAAGTATTTTCTGCATAAAAGTGAACGCTCAATGAGATTCTACTGAATGCAGTTAAAATTTATAAAATCAACCACTAGACCAGGAGAACATTCTTGTTGCAAGTTTTGAATTGTACACATGTACATACATAGGATCACGGTCGCCTAGCACCGCACCAGACGGAACAATCGGTAGAGCAGCGGACTGGGAAATCGAAGCTGGGGGTCGCTGGTGCGAACTCTAGCTCTCTTTCCTCTTACATTCTTTATTACAACAGTAGTCATATATATGTATGTGTGTGTGTATGTGTGTGTGGGGGGGATATATGTGTGGGGGAATATGCGTGTGTGGGGGGATAAATGTATGTGTGTGTGGGGATATATGTGTGGGGGGGGTATATGTGTGTGGGATATATGTATGTGTGTGGGGGGGGGGTATGTGTGTGTGTGTGTGTGTGAGGGGGATATGTGTGTGGGGGATATATGTGTTTATGTGTGTGTGGGGGGGTATATATATGTGTGTGTGTGGGGGGGGGGGTATGTGTGTGTGTGTGGTTGGAACATTGTGTTAAACATGTTTTGTACAGCAAATGGATTACTAAAGAATTAATGATGTTAAGTTTAAATGACTAAAACGTATATGTAGTAATTAACGTTCTTAAACTAAAAGATATAAAAAACGTAGAGAAATTACTATCGAAAAAATAGGTATTGCTATACACGGTAAATGTTTTGGCCCAGATGGTTTTACTACAGAATTTTACATCAAAATTAGTTATAGATACAAATGTTATATGTTAAAATCATTAGGGATATGTGGATCAGATGTGTCATTGGGATCTACTAGTTACGTAAAGGAAACAAACTTTGCATTTTACTTATATTTTTCCATCATGGAACACACACACTGGATTTAATAAAGTTTTGCACATATCTAAAAATATTGTGTTAAGGTCCACGGAAAATAGTGAATTGCCAAACAAAAGTATTTAAAACTTTACGCAATATTCAAATTATTTAAATTTTGAACCCGAATTCGTATTTTCGTTTAAATAGGTGTGATTTGTTGTAGGACTATAATGTGTTTAATAATTATTACGACGTGGTCATTAAAGCCAGATAACAACTAAACATCGTGCATTGCTAAAATGGTAACCATATGCTTTAGTATGTTAATGCTAGTACCAAACAATCTTTGTAATTGTCCTTAAAACGTCCACATTTTATCCTAAAAGATAAATGGATTTCACGTCTCTCGGTTGTCCAGACGAAGTTTGAAGTTGGTGTAGAAATGACGCTCTCCCTCTATTTCCAAGATGAACGTAGCCCACATTTACAGGTAGCTACGCCTTTAAAATTTGGTAATAGAAAAGGTATGCCAAAAATGAATAACACTGTCTCATGCATGTGTTTCGTCGTTTTAGGACTCATCGGCAACGATGCTAACTCTTAGGGACGGCCAAAAAGTTGGAAATTCAAATTGTCTAAAGTATAGTTGGTAGAAGGGCAGGTACGTAAAAGTAAAACCCCATGCTATCAAAGAAAAGTCTTGAAATATTGGCAAATCGTAATGACCTATAAAAAAATGAAATCCGAAAAATGGTCAGTTAACCAATTTTTGGAATCTGATTATGAAAATGAGTACAATTGTTTGGATTCAGAGCATAAGACATTACACCATAAATGCATTCTGTGGTATAGTGGTGGCTAGTTAATTTATATTTAAGTGAATGCCATTTACAAACGAGAAAGTTAATTACAGTCGGTAGTAACGACCATAGCACGCATGTCTCCAAAGAGATTTTATTTCATATTACACACGAAAACATAATATCAATTAATAAAGAATGCTGTACGAAAACATTTAATCTTTTGTTTTTAACGACAGTCCTTCGTTGACAAAAACAAAATATGCCTTAATCTGTGTTGTCGTCTCACATACACACAACAATACTAACACCATTTAGAGAGCACCTGCCGACTCTTAAAACATTAATTTTATCACATGACACATTCACGAACAACATTTCATCACGTTTAACAGTGACTTCATTATAAAGTTAATTACTTATGGAGCAAATGGCACTAAAAAAAATAACTTTTAATGTGGAAAGATATATTACTGTTTATAATGGATATCACACGACCGGAAAAAAGCATAAGTGTGAACAAAACCGCAATTCAAATGCAAAATCGACGAAAATCTAAAAAACAAAAATGCATACAAAGTTAATATTTACACGGATACCGTTGTGAAAATACCAAGATAATCCGATCAAATGTTCCAAAAGGGAAAGCGCTTTTTGCTTCATCGACAACTGTAGGTCAAATACCCAAGTAATGTCACGTCCTCTAAACGAAAAACCAGTTAAGTCACAACAAAACAACAAGGAACGCTAACGAGCATCACCAAAAACTTCGATATTAATCTCGTACAAGGAAATAGAACAATTCCCGATGAGATCATGATACCGACCAGAAAACAAAGCAATTGCCTTTTCTCAATCGTCATCTCTGGTGGCCCTATGTTGTAAGCCACCGATATATGTCCATCAGCAGTCGACATCTATTACGTCAATCCTTGATATTTTGAGCAATCTATTAAATACCGAAACAACTGTGGCATATAAACATGTTTACCGGGGATCCAAGGATGTAACTATCAATAAAGGGGAAATTCAAGGTAAGAAATTCGTGTTACATAATGCCTGATAAACAAGAATTAAGGGTCAATTTTATATACATGCAGATTAATGCATACACACTTTAAATTGTTGTTATAGGAAAGAACAAATTCTTCAATAGAAGCCATTGATTTTCAAGTGTCAAGCCCAAGATATCACAAAATAAATTTATTCAATGTAATCCATTTCAAAATTTTAGATATTGAAAAGAATCCTTTCAGTCGGTAAATATTTTTCAATTAAAACATGATATTCCAAGCATTACAAAGAAAAAGAACTTCAAACGTTCAATTTTTATTTATTCTTAGAAAATTAGTACTTACTCTGGTTGTCGCACTCTCTGTCGTTTAAAAACTCATTGCATTTTTTGTTCTTTTATAATTTTAACTGTAATTAAAATAAGTAGATATGATAAGTTACTTGCATAATGCGTCGTCCGGTGATAGAAACTTTAACAATATGTTTTAACTATAATGTATGTGAATTATGATTATTTTGTGGTATAGTCATGTGAATTGCAATGTATAATGTGGAACGATCATATGAATGAAAAATTTACAAATTTGGATACTAAGATTAATTACCAAGTACTGATGTTCCGGGTAAAATGAAACACAGAAAGGAACAGTTACTATATGTGTCGGGTATATAAGGACATACTCAGAATTAAATTCATGTGCAAATATATTAATAAAAAAGCTTACCTGCATAAAACTGTACATATTTTAGTGTTTTACATGTTTTTATTAGGATTTTGAGGGGACAAAGAACAGTAAGTATTAACAGTAGCACCAGGAATATTGTAACAAAATAGACGGAAATCTGTTATTAAATGATTAAAAAGAGTTCAAATTCATTGTGCACAATAGAAAAAGAACATGCATTAATATTCAGATGACATATAATATATACATGTAACGTACTAAGAATGAAGTAACAACTTATAGTGTAACATTATTTTTTATGATGGTCACATACTGCTTTAGGCAGACAACTGTCTATTACGACTCATACAAATAACATACTGCAGGTAAGTTTATGTATATACACTCCCGTAACGAGATGTACTGGAAATAGTACACTAAGGACTTTCACATAAAAAAGTACCATAGTACATATGTGGTTATGTCTTATTACATATCTTCCATACCTTTTATCAGATATTTACAACCACTGTGCATTGCAAATGACAAGCCATTATCTTATCACTTTCTTTAACCCTTTCACCCCTATGTAACTTTAGTAAACTCAACCCTGCATTGATATGGGTAAGTCAATTATGGTCTACAGTGGTGAAAGGGTTTACGGCACTGCCAGTTCTGTATACAGTTCTGGATATACTTACCTGTCTGCGGTGTGGTACTGCCGACGGGGAGGCGTGGTCTAGGAATCAGGACGGTACATATTCTATTGTCCTGACAGACCGCTAGCATTGATCCATGAGACGACATCTGCTCAAAATGGGGAAGAGTGTTTTCGTAAGTATATCTTTAATCAGTTACACTTATTTTCTCTCTTATTTTTAAAATTTCAAACATTCATTGATGTAATGATAGTATTGTAATTGTTTACCTCAGCAACGTACCCCGCATGCACCATTCTAAAAAAAAATGCATTAACTTAATTTTTTTTACAATAGAACTGAACAAACTCGACCTGAAATGTGTGCGCGCTTACGTATACTAGACCGAAATACAAAAATATCACCTAGGGGAATTACTTGAAATCATACAACTTTGTATTCATAATAATTTAAGACACTAAATTATAACACTTAAGATTTTCATTTAGCATGTTTCATGCAAAAATCTAAACATTAAACGTCGCCGTCAAAGTAATAGATTTCCCCCCACAAAACGTCTATAATAACCATTTCTATACAATAAGCACTTTTGCAAAGCAAAAAAAAATATATTCGAAAGCATTTCAGAATTCTTTATAATAATCCACTAATGATCAAATTAAAGACGTTGTATCTAATCTGTTAGAATTCGATAACACGCTTAAATTTTAGTCCGTTATAATAATTTCTTTTACAGTATAATGATGTTGGAATTATTTGTCTCCAATTGCTTGAATAACATGTATGTTGCTGCTGTGCATATGCTACTCGTTGATGAACACTAGTGGTACAAATACACTTCCAACAGATGCAGAAAGACAAACAATTTTTTAGAATTGAATTTTCTCCAATCTCTGTATTATTATTATTTTTGTCACGCTGTTAATATAAATTGGTAACAATTGATTTACTAATGCACTGTAATTCCAACGTGGTTTTACAATACTATTCGGCAAATACACTTTTATATATATATGCATCTTCGCTAGCCAAGTGTTCGCTTCGTATACACTTATTGGAGTGTATACGAAGCGAACACTTGACTAGCGAAGATGAAATATATGAAAAAGCATTACAGTTATATTTTTTCCAGTTTGAAATTTTGGAGATAAGCTCCAGATTGGTATTAATGATACTTAAGTAGTAGAAACTGGTTTTGGATGTATGCTGGGCCTATGATAAATAGGTGTTTTAAAGCTAACAGTAAGTAGAACATCCTTCATCTGTCAAGCTATTTCTAGTATTTCTTCTATTTACAAAAATGGTAAGTAACAGTAACTGACATATTATGTTTAGCCTGTACACATCACGCCGTAGATAAACCATGACATCCCTCATTTTAAAGTAGACCCGCGCTATAAGACCTTGATAACTGCACTACCCATCGGGATGGGATTTCGAAATGTTTCACTGTTTCAAAACGCAAAGATATTGCTATGTATACTGTACTATTCATTTTTTTCTAAATTAATGTACAACAACAAGAAAAGTATTTGGTATAAAGCTTGAAAAAACCAAAAAATCAGAAGAAATACATTTTCATTGTTTGCGTAATTATATATTTCCACTTTTTTTGATCTAAATAAAATAAAACATAAAACACGTTTAAGAACTGTTTTCAGCATTTTCATCATATATTTGGCTTGGAATCTTGATATAAGAACTAACATAATTTGAATAGATGCGTTCAGTGAACAAAAAAAGACAACTTAGTCAAGGTAACCTATCTGAAAGGCTCCGATATACGCTGTAGATGTTTAACGGTCCTGCTCATTACCAGATTTCTAGCTATGAAAAAAAAAATCACTGTGTCTTATATTGTTGTTGACCTCCTCACTTTCCTGGACTTGACGCGAGATATCGCCTGAAGTTGTTTGGTGTCTCCTCGATTCCTTTTGCTGTTTTTTTTGTATCGGCCTAATGTCCGCATTTGGTCCTTGTGTGTTAACCTTAACAAGAATTGTCCTTTCGTGTTGGTGTGTTGACGCTGTGATATATCATGTCAATGTGTAATCTCGATGTGTAATATCCGTGTCCTGGTATGTTGACGCTGTGGTATGTTGTTTCCTTCAAACTTTTTTCGTGATTTATTAGCATGGTCATTACCGCAGACAAGTTGTTCTGATAATATGAATGAAAATTATTTATTTCAACCGTTATTTTGCCGACCTGTGATGTGATGTTTTTATTGATAAAGCGATACACAAACCCAAAAACATTTCTTGTTTCTTCATAACATATTATAGAATTGTCATGTCAGAACATGCTAACACACATGTACTATACCACTTTTATTGCTCGGCAGGTGTCCCAAAACTGCATGGATCCATCAATTATACATATGTATGCACTTTGTTTCGTCTTATATCCAGACAATCCTCGAGTCTATGATCGATTGTATACATCTAGGTCAACTCTATCAGAAACCATTAGCATGCTGCATATTTATAGATTAGGTGGCGAGGTCACACTCTTACTATTTACTATATCAAATACACAATACTTTCCTTGATATGACTTGATGTATCATGACAGGTGCTTCGTATGGCTAAGGCAATTATCACACCTTTGTTTCTAATAAAAGCCATTCTGCACCTGTGATGCCAGTGTAGTTTGTCATAGGTAAGGCTTAGTCTCCTCCCCTCCCTCCCCAACAAGAAGTTAGTCGATTCGGTTTATTTCTTGTGATTTATTATAAATAACACTTTATATATTTGTTTAAAAAAAATATAAACTTTGAAACTCTTATTTCAGCCCATGGATTGATATCAAGGTCTAGGGATAATAGCACAATTGCATTTTTTGTAAACCTGAATTCGGATTAGCCGAATATTATAAACAGTTTCGCCTCCTTCCTCGCTCAATCTGATGTCATTTGATTTAGTTTTGGGTGTTAATGATATAATTTTGAAGTCATCGACTTTATCGATTGTTTCATATGAGATATTATTCATTTTACATATTTGTTTAAGAAATAAATTCTTTCTTAACATTCTTATCTACTTGCAAAAACAACAAGCAAAAAAACAACTTATTCAAAACCGAAAGAAGATAAATGTGTAGCCATCCCTTGAATTAATATCAAAGTCTCGGGATGATAGTATATTATCGAAATACATGTAGTCACAAATCAAAGGCCTGACCCTTCATGTCCTGGTTTTGTAGAATATGAATTCGGATATTTTGTGGTCCCAGAGGAGCCTATTAACCACTGGTATTGGGATGCAAAATCCAACGATAAATATTTTTAATAACGCATTGCAAATTCATATATTATTTACTAGGTATACTTTACATGCATTTAGATTAGTTTATGTAACTTGGTATCATCGGTGACGAGTTGACATACTTTAATAACAATTTAATAATATAATCTAACCTTTAAAGAATAAAATGTGAAGTTTTAAGATAATGTTTTAAAAAATCTGTTCATCACTCGCATTTTACACAGCAATTTACCACAGGTAGTGAATACAATCTCATGCATACGGAACATTATAGTTGGGTTTTTTTTTCTTCGTTCTGGGTAAGCTCTTCCTATTAATTGTGCTGTCGGCTTAATAGGTGGGCTGTGCTTATTTTTGTCATGAACCATTCATTCATCGTACGACTTTGCTGTCCTAAATTGCTGATATAATAAAACGATATACGAACACCGATATATCAAAAAAACTTGGCTACATTCAGAGCAAAATATTTACAACAAACAAATCATTTTAGCAGTAGATACACTACAGTTTAATGAAATATAAGTTTCTGTGAAAAAATATTGAAAGCATCTAATACCTATGACATAAACCCTATTATTCTTGTTCTCAAATCAAATAGTACGCGTATCAATTAGATCATTGGGTCGCAATTCCATTTGTTTTCAAACATTAAATTTATCGTTACATGAGCCATAATCTAAATCTACGATATACATGAAAGGGCCCAGCATTGTACTTATTGTTAATCGATGCTATTTCCGCTAATAAGATAAATATAATTCAAAACCAAAACATTTAAAGCTGCCTTATTTGATACTATCATCACATGTTTCTGCATATTCCTTTTGATCTATGGTAATACGCCTCTGCATGAAAGGTATATTAATTACGGTCATTATACATCTGTCATATGACTCCTATCATCATGTCACGATGTCCATATGCTACGTTCGTATATCTCCGTGTTACCAGCTCGTGTGTTTTATCATGCTTCTTGTGCCTTAAGACGTTTGTCGCTAATGAAATGTCAGAAAAAGAAGAACGAATAATACATTGCTGTCGTGATTATTATGACAGAGATAATAATTATCCCCCGTGACGGGAGCGTGTCCCCAATTAATTTCCAAGTGAAATTATACACACACATGCACAAACTAAGCGCAAGTTGTATATTATTTCATAATGTTATAATTATGTTGTTTTTTTTGTTTTTTTTTAATTGTTGTTGACTTTATGGTTATGTGAGAAAGAAATATTAACCAAGAGGAAATCTCGTGGTGAATATTACTTTCTGTCCAAAGATCAACCCAATTTACAGAAAAAAAGCATTCTTAATTGTTATATTAGATTAGAAATTATGTTGTTTTTGTCATTTAACAAAGACATTAAGAAAAAGTACTGCATTTGGCAATGAGCCTTAATTGTGACGTTACTGACCTATTTTTTCTCAAATAGTAACACGTTCACGTGATATTTACATGAGTATGATCCGACCGAGAAGGAGAAGTAAAAATCATCTAATATATAATGTTATATTTTATAACTACTATACCCAACTATTTGCTATGGTGTGAGCTATTACATACGACTCTAAGGTTTCAGAACTAAATTGTTGTATGGTGAGAGTAATTGAATTTACTCTGAGATAAAGTCGCAGTTTCCCAGCATTACAGTTTATTTGTTAAAATCATATAATTTTTTATGTGAATTTGAATTTTCCTGTAAGTCTTTACGTGTAGGAGTTGTCGTTATTTTTTCCATCTAAATAATAAGTGCATTAGGATGACACTCTTGTTAAATTAAAGGTTTGTTTTCTTCAGTAATTCATTCTTTAACTTACATTTGGGTATATCACTTAATCTTTTTTTCTCAAGTAATTTACAACATGTATGTTCTATTTTAATCATGTTTGATGTTTACCAGTTTTATTCTCAAACAACAAAGATTCAAAAAAAAAGAAAAATTTCAGACCAATTCATCGTGATATCTTTTCGGAATTGCGTTCATCGTCGTATATACTTTTTTTACATGAAAGATATAGAAATGTTCTATAGAGAAATTTACTCATTTGTATATTGCCTTTACATTGGTTTGTTTTATTTTGTTCCACAGCTACTATTAGTGGTAGTCGTGGTGGTTTCACAGGCTCAGTCGCAAAGTCTATCAGCACGATCGGGTCGTCTACAGGGGCAAAGTAGGCGACCGAATGGCCCAAGGCTTCAACAGGGCAGTATTGTAAGAGCCGCTTCTTCCGGTGCGCGGAAGCCATCTGGTGCCGAAGTAAATGTCAAACCAAATATCAAACCAAATATCAACCCAAATGCCACACCAAGTGCCAATCTAAGTACCAGACAAGGAGCTAAAGCACAGCCCCGTAGACCAAAGCTCACAGCAGGGAAAGCCCAACTTTCAGCTTCTGCCGGCTCCTTCGGATTCACCAAGGAAAAATGCGTTAGTATTACTACATGTTTACTGTAATACAAAATAACGAATACGATGGTTAGATGATCTGTTAGAGGACATTGCAAATGAAATGTCATCCTACGTGGTATAACCGTAAACGTTACAAGTCAGTGCATACGCTCTTCCATCAACAAAACAACTGCAATTGTAAAAACATATTTAAAATCACAATTCGTTAAAACGGTAAGCTGTTTAATATCTTCATATGTCTTTTAGAAGGGAAACTGCAACTTCCCGGCAGAGGTGTGTGTAAAGAAAGCTAAGTGTGGAGGACCATCATGTTTCTTTTGTGCAGGTAAAATTAGCACCCAAATCTGGTCTTCTATCCGTTTGTCTAGTTAAAAGCCCCTCCGGAAATTTGGGAAATTTAAGTTTTAGTTCTTTAGAAAAAATTGGTATTACACTATTATCATCACTGATAAGCACAAAAAAGCGGTTATGTATCACAAGCTCTTAGCTTGTGTTTTAATATATAATAATATTTAATTGGTGTGCATACCGAATAAATGTGAGATGAATAACTTTAAAAAATGCAATGACATATGCTTCTCGCAAGCTATTACTATTTGCTTGTGTTAAAAATGTTAATTGAATTCCAGGAAGTATTGCTTTTCTTGTTTTACTAACATGTTGTCGTTCTTCGAGTGTTTTCCAACTAATTGATATACATGTATTTTAAATTTTCAAAGTATTCTTCTGCTTGTATAACTCTTATACCATACGTCTATAATGAGAACAAAGTAGCATTACTGATATTCTGGTATTTCTATTGCATATTACTCATAAATATGATACTCTGATAACTTTACTGATATCCTAGAATCACTATCGCATGATACTGATTAATTGAATACCATATATTGCATTCAACATGCATTGCGCGTTACAGGTTTAGTGAAATGTAAGATGATTGACTGAAAACATCGTTGAGTCTCTTTCATGTTTCCACTTCGCTAGAAACTAAAAGTCTTCCAAAGTTTATTGAGAAGAAACCCAAACCGTCGCCCACTCCTCCTTCGACGAATTTTGGGTTTGGCGGCATGGACATGAATAACTTGGGAATGTTAGGCATGCAACAACAACAACAACAACAACAGCCGACGGATTTCTTCTCGGATATTTTCGGATTAGGTAAGCTTACGAGAAGAATTAAAACGTTACATATTGCATGTCAGGTCATTTTATGAAATATTGTCCTTTCCTCCTTTTTTAAGATTGCAAATGTTCTGTATACAGATGCAAAGTGAATTAAGACCGAAATTCAAACTTTATTTAATCTTAATATATTGGCAATCTTTAAATAAAATTTGACATGTCTTGTTTTATAGGTCCAAGCAATGGAGGGGGATTCGATATGTTGTAAGTAATGCCACCGATGTTTTTAACTATTCCTGATAAAATATAATATTAACCAGACTCATCTCCCTCGGCAGTAGATATCATTCGTAGAAGTTACCTATGAAATAATTGATTTTTTTTTCATTTTCTTTTAAATCCATATATTCATCATGCTGTACTTTAATGTCTATTTCTTAAAAGAAATAAAAATTCCTAAAACCACAAGTTCAGTTCAGCGTAACATCATATATTAAAGGGAATGAAACCTGTTAACCGTAAGCTTAAGTATGGTTTCTTACGCGGCAATCCAGTGTTCTTACGTTATCGTAAATCATTCATGTCCCACATAATCCATGATTGCTTCCATTTAGACGCTTGTAATCAATCGAATTTAGTGTAGAATGTTTAAAAAAAATGTCAATATTCATTAGATTTTAGCGACTGTTATATCCGTATTCTTTAGATTAAAGTGATTGTACAAGACACTATAATCTAAAGGATATGGATATAACGGATATCCATATTGATTAGACTATAGGTTTGTTATAAAGTGTTTCGTGTTGAAAATATAACAAATAAATACCTACTTTTTACCACTAGCTACCATTTTACAATAATATCTTTAAAATTTTCAAAACCATGAGTATAGCTACTTTGCGAATTTACTGCAGAAAACCTGAAAAGTACAAACTCTGAGGGTAAGGAAAGACATTTTCAATGATTTGATATTAATTTCAGATAACGTGTTAAACTTATTTATTCTTGAATTATGCCGAGGGATCAGAAACACGAAACAAATATGTTTGTTTGCATCACCTGTAACTTTGAGGAAGCTTTATTGATGTTGCATACCATACAGTGGAACATACACAACACTATGCTCCATTTCATCCTGCTATTCCAAATATGTTCATACGGTGGGGAACATATATACCGGGTACTGGCTTATTTAGATCCTCAGTATAGTCAACCACCACGTCATTGTCTCGTTAGGTATGGAAATCATCACTATATAACACCATAGGCTTTGGGCATTAAGCTTTTATATCAAATGCACTAACTTTCATTGTAATATCCCTTACTTGATTTATTGCGAGATTTTAATAGAAAAACATATATTCTAATAATCATAAATAAATTCATAATACCATGTATTACTACTCTTTTTTAAATTGAGAGTATTTGTCATTGTCTCATTAAATACGGAAATCATCACTATATAACACCATAGGCTTTGGACATTAAGCTTTTATATCAAATGCATTAACTTTCATTGTAATATCCCTTAGTTGATTTGTTGCGAGATTTTAAAAGAAAAAAATATATTCTAATAATCATAAATACATTCATAATACCATGTATTACTACTATGTTTAACAATTGAAGTTAATTTACAGTTATGCTTCATTCAAAGGAGAAAAAAATCAGACTTAATATAATTACATGACAAAACAGAATATTTTGGATTGTGGCATTATTTGAAGTTATTTCATTTATCAGCGGAACAGGACAGACACAAATGGGAAACCAACAAGTTTCGTCAGGATTTCCGAATAGTCTTTTGTAAGTAATGTGCTTATTGCTAGCATTGACTAAATAACTGACACTAATTTCCTGATTGATATCTATTACAGACGCTGATTGATACTGAAGAAAGAACCGTTATATCAATTTATTATAATTAGATGATTAGAATAATAAGGATATGTTTCTCCCATAACTACTATGTGTTTTCTCACTACCAAGCCATCAAAAAACAAACAATAGATTTGTTAAATATGTCAAAAGCCACGTTGGGAACATGTTGGAAGCATTGTTTTTATTTATCATATTTGTAATGACCTGCAAATGACTGTGATCACGCTTAGAAGCAATGCCAACGTCACACTCTTAAATGTCTTTGTTGTTGCGACGCCATGAATTTCAGTAAATCTATCGTGTGTGAATACAGACATTTCCAACATAGTAAGAATGCTATGGGAGAAACAAGTCCCATGATGGTTGGTTACAATGTTTAACACTCATGAGCTACAGCAAAATGACAATTATCCCTCGCGTGTTGTTGAACGTCCGTCTGTCCTTTGATCCAGTAAAATAGTCTGGTATCACATTTTCTGATCATGAAAAGTCTTGATGAAGATGACAAGAGTTCATACCGTACTAGTCACCGAAACGTCACATAGAAACACTTATTGGTTGTCTAACAAGATTTTTTTCATAATAATTCATACTTACCAACCTGAAGAAAATGTTTAGAAAATCAATAATATTGATATTCAATTTATTTGTTAAATAACTTTTACTATCCGATTATTTGTTATGGACCTACCTAGCTCCACAAATCCGCTAACATCCATCCCGGTAGCTGGGTACCCGTCTTTTCACCAAATGGATTTTTTAAATTCGTTGTAAGTAAATTATATATACGCAAAGTTTCTGTTTTAAGTTACGTTAACAAGATTCAAGTGAATTCAGTGAGTTAAATCGTAAATTGCATTGGAAAGTAAAACAAAAATGATTGTATATGATGATAAGTGGAATCGTACACGTTGTATAGCGAACAGGCCAGTTGATAAATGATACGTTTGTATGTCGTGGGGATTATTGAGTTCCGTTTATGACTTGAAGAGAATTTATTTTCTGGGCAATATATCGGCAGCAGCAAATATCAAAATACACTAGTGTAAGTAATTTGGCAGTAATAATAGCTGTGTCAAAAACGAATATTACTGAGTTATTTTTCAACAACATAATCACTAATATCACATTGCGCTTCTGTATGGCCATTGCTTATTGTACTTTTAAAAGACTGGTTGAGTATAGGTATATGCAATATCATAATCATTAAAATAAACACTTCAATGACGAAAACTTTGATTTTGATTTTAAACAGTAGTAAGGTACTAATCTCGACAACTGATTTTAGAATTATTTGAAAATAACATTTAACGTTTCAAACAATAGCTCTGGAAACTCCCAATCTTCAAGTGGACCAAGTATTAACTCTCCTTCTTTATTGTAAGTATATCGTTTGGAGCAGCAAGAAAAATACATGATATCCTAGTCATATCTGCGCACAAAACTTTTTATCGACGCTTATTATCAAACAGTATGAGATATATTTGGGGTTCCCGAGTAGTAAATTATGCTAATTTGTTCACACTTTCTATGTGAGTACCAACATAATTTATGGTACTACACCTGTCACTGAAATGTTGTATTTATGATCTTTATGTGTTGTCTATATGAGGACACTGAATGGTTGAATGCACACGCGCCTCTTTATCTGCATATTAGTGTATAGCTGTACAATTGTTTGATCAAAGTATCGGAAAGTCACTGTAGTGTAGCATAGGGGTATAGGCAAAAACGGCGGACAGTACGAAAGAAAAAAACATTTTTCCTTTTGTATAGATTATCGATAGTAAATGCATAAATATTATGCAGTTTAATATTAAAAACCAACATCGCACAGTAAATACCATACACATGCTATATACAGTATACACAGATTTGTTATAATGTTAAACAAATATACAGATATCATACAGTTAAACACTATAAATGTATATCAATAGTGAAACACCATACAAAGATCGTTACAATTAAACATTTCACATATATAGCAAATACAATACAAATATATCATACAGTTGAACACCGTATCCATGTACCATACAATAAAACACCATGCACTGGCATCATAAAGTTAAACGTCATGCACCGATATCATATTTACACACTTTATACAGACATAGAGCTAGAAAACTTTTACTAAAATAATTTCGAATTTTAATAGATACTTTGTAGATGATAAATAAAAATGAAATATTTAGTGTCAAGGTGATAATGGTTATATATGTATAGTTATATAAGTGACGATTCGCGGTTATATAGGTGACAATTCACGGTTATATAATTATACAGGTGACAATTCACGGTTATATAATTATACAGGTGACAATTTACGGTTATATAACTATATAGGTGACAGTTCACGGTTATATAATTATACAGGTGATAATTCACGGTTATATAATTATATAGGTGACAGTTCACGGTTATATAATTATATAGATGACAATTCACGGTTATATAATTATATAGATGACAATTCACACAGATTTAGTGAGAAGTACTGACCAATTGTCTGTAGACAATCAGAGTGTACTATGACACCAGGAGATATTACTGTAATACAAATATGCGTAGGTCTTACATGTCATCTAACATTAACGTCTCTGTGGAATACATAAAACACAATCAATAAAAAGCGCGCGCCTATTATTGACAGGGCCAGGGTAAAGATAGTATATGTGACACTTTTATGAATCTTTGATCTTGACCTTTTCCTATAGGTGTACATCACGATTGCGTGGAAAACCATCTGTGTAACATGTACATGTGTATTGTACATACATTCTAACAGCTCTTATATTATTATATATTATAGATGAAATATATATTGCATATCTGGAAACCTTCCCCCTTTACAAATATAATTATTTAATTAAGCTGCCTTGATTGATTCGCGCTCATTAAAAGGGGCAAAAAAGGTGAAAATTAATCTGTGGCAAAAAAATACTTGTTTTAGAGTTGAGGTTCATAGTTTTTCAGTATCTCAGCTTTTGTATCTGTTATTAAGTTAAAGCAAATACTAGTATATGTTTTACATATCTTTCTATCTTTACAAACCAAACATTTCTATATATGATATCGCTTAGTTAATAACCCGAATATTGCAGTGCCCTTTCGGTCATATCTCGGACAACGCTTGAGAAATGATAAACAAAATATTGTTTAGAGATAGAGACATTCAATTTTTTTATATCCAAATATTGTTCATAGTCATCGAATATTTGAAAAATCAACAGAATTTGTTTTAGTATTAAGTGAGATGTTATCAGTAAGTTAAACTAAAAAAAATGCGACATGTGTAACTATGGAGATGGGATGATATAAGTTATAATGTATAACAATGTCAGCCAATACTGATAACTGAGATAACATATTCAAAAATCGAATTCTCAGTTAATGTAAATATGTCGGTGATAAATTCTAATTTTTTAGTCAACAGAAAAGTTTAACTATGTAGTTATTATAAACTAAGTTTCGAGGCATTAGTACAAGGTAACAATAACAATAAAATAATTATGTCAACTGTCAACTGTTAACCTTTAAATTATTATTTAATTAGACCTGAATCCTCTCAGGCGCCCTCGTCTACAACCCCCACCTCCCCTATGTTACCAACCTATAACTATTCCGTCTTTGCGTATTGCAGAGTTATCTTCTCTTGGGAGCAGGTATTGCTTGTTACGTCACTTGTTTGTGAGAGTAACGTCATCAATTTTTGAGAAAACGACGTAATTTTCTCGCACAAACCAATGACGTAACAATCAATACCTGCTCCCAAGAGAAGATAACTCTGCAATACGCAAAGACGGAATATACTTGGCAGCTATGTTAACTTAATAACACCATCATATAATCAGGCTGATACATACAATGTAATAACACCATCGTATACTCAGGCTGCTATACAATGTAATAACACCATCATATAATCAGGCTGATACATACAATGTAATAACACCATAATATACTCAGGCTGATATACAATGTAAAAGCACCGTCATATACCCAGACTGCTGTGCATTGTTCTAACATCATCGTATACTCAAGCTGCGTTGCAGTATAATGAAATAATCGTATCAATGTTTGAAAGTATCATATGTAATATCACTTAAAGTGCATTCTCAAGACAAAATACAGTTACACCATTGAACGAATTAAAAGACTTAACTGGTGATGTTTTCCTTAATGAGTCACAAGGGAAATGCTCTGTCTGAACGTATGAAAATAAATCTCATTCATTCCCATTCCATTCTGAATTTCGCTTCTCATGCAAAATCGGCTGCTGTGATGCTAATTGTAACAATCAGAGCTTTATGTCTTTTCAGCCAGCTTACTTCATGTTTCAGAGAAAAGTTTCATATGTTTTTATTTTAGGGGAAGCAGGCCGGTGATTTACCAGAGTTGTTATGTTGAGAAAATGTACATGTTGTTCGGTGGCGGTTACTTCAAAATTGTAAACAATAATATTATCATATTTTAAATATATTTGATTCAATTAAATCTGCGCTTGTTGTGTGTTGTTGTCCCAACTAGGCAACACGCTAAACCAATATATCTTACTCACCGAGTACTACCGGAAAAGACGATTACGCCGGGCAGCATATATAAATTCGATATATAAATGTTGGATATTTTTGACAAAAAAAGTATGTCGCATACGTCATTTTATGTAAGGGTAGTCGGATGGTGTTGAGAATTAATTGAAAACGTCAAGGCTGTGAGTTTGACTGAATACTAAGTTATATACTTAAAATTGTGCTGGGTTCCGTATGCATATCATATTTCAGAGAGATTGCAAACATTTCGCAAGATAAGAATAATATATTCTTTTGTCATGCTTTCAACTGCAAATGAATCCTCTCCGAATTTAGATATTTCCTCGGCGGAATCGTGCTTTATGGTAGTAACGGGTGATACTGTTTGTACCGTTATACTGTTGTGTTACTGTAATAAACCGGCGAATTTGTTCATTGTTTTACGACGAGAACAAATGATTCTAAAATTCAATGAAACAGCATTATCGCTGTTTTATGCGTATGAACAGCAGATTTCCATTCACAACAGAGCGATCATAGTTTATTTATGTCACATATTTTGGTACTTTTTAAATACCTGTCAAATATATGTCATGGACAATGTACATTACTTATAATATTTTGTATTAGAAGCGCATTCTTTAAGCAAACATCGTTCATTGTTTTAGAAAATAATCACGCATGCCTATTTTATAAGAGCTACTATTCCATTGTTAAAGATATTTCATGCTTTGCTTTGAATCTGTATTGTGGCAGATAGTAGTTACAGTTTAAGCTCCCATGAAAAAAAAATGCGATAAAAATGTTCTTCACGCTCATAGTTTATATAGACAAACTATCTACTATTTCTCCTCTATTCATTCGTATTGGTAATTAATACATGTGTCAAGCTGACTGATGCCCAGAGATATGCAATTACTGCTTAGTTATAGGTCCATTTCATTGATAATTAATATGTGTATCCGAGATATGAAGTCAATTGGTAATTACTACATAGGTGACTGTTAATTAAAAGCCTTATACTTTATTAACAGTGGCGGATTGTTCGGGGGAGGATCAGGAGGGATGGGCGGCGGCGGTGGAATGAATCTTCTGTAAGTATAATTGTCTAATGTCATTGTTAAAATATTACTTTTCACTCTTGATATCCGGGTGGACGCGCCAAGTGGGTCTTAATGTGGATAAAACCAGAAAACCCATGCGGTCTGACAGGGTGTCACCATACATTTCCACGTCCGTTCGGGGAGTGGTACTCCGGCCGCCTTGGTGAAAGGCGATCGCTTTAACCACTGCGTCACTCAACCAACATTGCCATCTTGCCAATTTGTTCGTAGCTCAACATATGCATAACAATTGCTTTTAGTTGCAAGACCTAAATTAATTATTTCCCTTCTGAATGAACAGTTAACAATTAGTTTTCAAACGTACACTGACATAAGGATACAATCCAATTTAAATACGAATTATGACACCCTGTGACCTTTACTTTATTGATATTTATATATATGTATATATCATTTATGTATCTTTATAAAAAAAATATCTTTATTTTTCAGATCCATGAGCATGTTTGGAATGGATCCTTTTCAGTTATTTTAAATAAGTATTAAAACGTATCATTCGGAAGTCACTGTCCTAAAGGAATAGGAACGTCCCTGGTGTACATGAGAGACATTATTCTTGCCAGTTCCCACCGATCCATGTTACGTTCACCTTAGCATGACAAGCACCAGTAGGAGATCATGAGAACACAGTGGAGATTTTCTTAGATGCGACAGTCAAACTTTGTAAAGCGACAGTCCAACACTATTCGCGTAATACAGTCTAGTTTGTTATGCCAGCGAGAGGCCATGTGGTAGAAATCAACAGGCTCTCGGTTTATAGCCAACATTCGCAGTTATTGTAGTTCATTTGTCGAATATTTTTATGAAAAATAAATCATGTTTTACTGTTTTTGCTCTGTTTCGTGTTTTATCTGCCATATTGACATTGACATACTTTGTGCGTGATCAGTGCAGGTCTCTACAAATTCAAAACCGATGCAGTCTGATACTCACGACATTTATTACACGAGAGATAACTCTGTCAAGCTTGATTTTTTTTTCATACGGATACCCATCTAGTATGAGAAGATCCTGAAATTAAACTCCGGTGTGAATATATAGTGGGCTATTAATTTGCTAATTTAACCGTTATATAGTTTACGTGCTGGTAGTTCATTTTGAACGATAGTACATTTGTAATTAAGATAACTTGTACATATCTATTTTTGGAGAGTTATATTTTCAGTCTTGTTTAGCCTTCGGAATGGGCAGCAAACGGTACCTGAAATCCAAAACTTTTGCAGTAAAATGTCAGATGTTGACAAACTAATGAAAATCCAAAACCAACATTATTTTTTTGATTCTTAGCCAAAAAATATGTAATAATATTAAAAATATAATGAGGCTAGAAAAAAATATCTAAACAGCATATACTATTGATGTCTGTGCCGCGCATTAAAGGAAGACGACCTCACAAAGGCTATCTACAAAGAATTTACGATGCTAGCTCATAGTATTTTGTCAGATCAACTCGATTCATGTAATCGCATTTTATTTCTTTCACACCAGTTGCTTCAAGACTAGTTAGCTTACCAACTAAACACACAAAAAGCATTTAAGTATATTAAAAAGGTAATGGAGAAATTGCAAATGTTCACCTTCAGATAACACAACAGTTCTTGTAAATTTTCAAATTGTCATATTTTCGTTAACAATTCGTTAAGCTGATATGACTTGAACATCAGGGCGTTGGGCCCGTGTTTATGAAACCGTTCTCATGCTCAATCGTGGATTTTGTGCCATATCCGATTATTTATTTTTTTGACTCGCTTAAATCATGTAGTATTCTTCCAAGTCGTTGACAAAATGTGATTTCCTTTATTCATTTATCACGGGAACAAGAAATTGAGCAAAAAATCTGAGTTAGAATTTGAAAACCCCTCGGTTGGAATTTCCCTATCCTACACCCATGGACATGAAATATACTTATAATATTATACAGTTCCATGTGTTTGTTTAATATACTTTGCTACGGAATGACAATACTACATTCAAAGATGCACATAACAAACCCGCAGGTGATTGCACTCTTAAAATTTGGTAGTAGATACAGAATACCAAAAATGACATACATTGCTTTATACAGCTCTTAAAGTAATTCATAAAGAAAAACAAATCACAGTTTATATTCAGTTTTTATTAAAAGAACAAGCTCAAAATGACACAAAGGAAGCATAATGGTGTACCGAAAGCTTGCTGTGTTAGAATCGACTCACTTTCTTCAAAAGGTTAAAAGCGATCATTGAAGTTGACTTGAATTAATTTGAACATGTGTTTATTTCAAGCATTCTTTAGTAAACATGGAAAAATTTAGGAAGGAATAACTAATAATTCTATTATCATATTAAGAATACATTACATGTTTCATGAGAAGGTGTTCTCCTTAAAACATAAAATATGGATATTTGTTTTGTATTTAATGTAAGTCAAATATATTGAAAACTTTGCAAATTTAATTTCATATAGGAAGTATAAACCCTTTGTGATATTGACGTAAATCAATGGAAAATAAAGTCTTAAGCCTGTTTTCAATGTAATTCTTTTAGTGTAAAATAAAACGAAATAAGTCTTTTTAGAAATTACCCCAGTTTGATACATGGTATGGTAGTATCCTTATTCTCAAATGTGATGTTGTTAAGGAGGGTATAAGTTAGGTATAAATCTTCAATTGTTTGTAGAACACAGACTGAAATGGTTATATGAGAAAATATTAAACGAGTATACATATTTATGAAGCACACGAAGTATTAGGCTGCTTAATCTTCATTCAAAACCGGAATTAGAGCCACCTCCCGAAACCTGAAGGGATCCGATACTGTTACATTTAACAGCTGGCAAAGTTCCACATCGCCCTAGCCGCGTGTATGCAATTGTGAGTAAAAAGGTTGTAATTATCAGCAATGCCACCGGCTCTGAGGAAACCATTGACAGTCTTGAAACAGCTCAGGTATTTTGGGCGTCGATCCCTTACCCACCTGAAAGGTCAATTAAAACAGGGTCACGTCAAAATGCATTAATCATGTTCCAAATATCTAACAACATGGAACATCTGTTTTATACAATGAGTAGTTAACAAATTAGATAAACTAGTCTCAAAACATGCTGAAATCGAGTAATGTCCGACTGCTGGTTATACTGATGACAATCTAATAAAAATTGACTCACTCTGAAGACATGTAGTCCGCATCTGTGATTACGGTGTCTGGATTTGTTCCAGTGCTGTGAAAAAATATAAACCTTTGTTTACTTAGGGGTATCATGATTGAAATACTGGATACTGAATATGATAAAATCAACTCAGAGGAAAATCGACACATATTTGATTTAAAATTATCCTACAAACTAGACTGAAAGAAACTTATAAATGCCAACAGGAAACTATGGCGAACTATTTAAGACACATGCTTTAATACATAGGGATGTATGAGTACAGATCGCTTGTTCAAAGCATGAAATGAACACATATTGTACATCAGCTATAAAGAATACTATCAATAAAATATAACCACATAAATGTAAGAATAATATTAGTGGGATAGAGAGAAAAATCAAAATAAAATTCTAGTGGAATTTTCGATTTTTTTGGGGGGAAAAAACAGCTCTAGCTGAATGAATGGATAGAGAGTGGCGTAGCATACGTGTATGCTGTATGCTCAAGCATACACTAAACTATTCAAGAAGATTCATAATTTTTTTATTAATTAATTATAAAAAAAAAAAAATCGATTAAGAGCCGTTTATTCTTATAATTAGCAAGTAAATCTTTTACTTGTAAAGATGTTCCCAGAACACAGGAGCTTGCTTCTAGGGCAAAGTAGATTTTTTCCAGCTATACATGTATGTACGCATTCACTTCGAAAAAAGGATTTGATACGCCACTGATAGAGACTTCAGTAACGATTAGCTTGCGGAAAATTAAGAAAAATAGAGCTTGATGATTTGACGGAAACTTAACTGAAAATATAGTTTGAGGAATAGACGGAAATTTAACTAACAATAGAGCTAGTGAATTGGATGGAAATACTGTAGAAAACGGAAAAGACGGAACTAAACTAACAATTTCACCAGCGGATGGAGGGAAACTTAACTAACAAATAAAAATGACGGAATAGACGGAAATTTAAGTAACAATATAGCTAGTGGAATGGACGGAACTTTAACAACAATAAAGGAAACAGATTACAGCAGGAGGTATAGACCGAAACTTAAAAACAAATAACGTATCCAACGTTCAACAGCTTAAAAATATAATAAACATAAAAATACATCGTCAAGTAATAGGTAATTAGAATAACGGTAGTAAATGAACAAGGCATTAGTAGCAAAGCCATTTTATCTTTAGAATGTGTTTATGATAAAGATTTACCTCCAGGAGCCCCTGTGGATCAACCATCGGTCTTGGCCCAGGACGCTATTTGCCAAAGTCACGACAATGCCATGATGCAAACGGCTGAGGGAACGCTTCCTTTTCCCAGAAGAGCCAAAAGAGCCAAGCAGTTGTCTACAAAGAACAAGTTCTAACGATGAGGGCGATCAATGCTAAAGTTACACTGCACCAAACAAACAAAAAACAATGTACAGTTTTTCATTTTATTAGAGAAGCAGAAATATTTATTATGTTCCAAATGATACCCAAGATATTTAATGTGCAGACAACCCTAGTCACGCAATCACATAAAGGTCGAACACGTTTAAGAAGAAACTCTGAAAACGATGTCAGCTGAGAAATGTGAATATTTAATAATAAGAAATTATGTTTTTTGTAATAGTATTATTAGTACACAGGTTATGGGAAATGTATTCAACATATTCTAATAAAATACAAATTAATCAATGGGCCATGCATCATCAAAAATGTTAATAATTTTTTAATCTCAAAAGATTTTATTAACTTTGTAAATGTCAAATGTACATCAGGCTAGGCCAATGTTGATAATTACGAACTTAGATATCAGGCGACTTGGTGATACAACATTGAATGACATTAGCTCCATCATTCTTTCCTACAATATTGTTAAGAGGTATGTTTTCATTAAATGTATATCTTTATGACAAAGAAATATAAAAAAAAAATAAAAAAATATATGTTTTGTTTATGTTAAACAATATAGCAAACACTATTTATGAACAGACTTGTCTACATAAGCATTGCCACACATTGCATGCCAGACAATAGGAGCAAAGTGCCTCTTTAACTTCCTTCTTGATAATCAAGATATGGCAAAATTTAACTGCAGATCAGAGTCTAAAGTGATCCCCAAATAGCTTAACATAATTAATGATAGATGATTTTGTATTAACCTCTAACATTAATGAGTATTTCCTAGACAACATTGCTTAACAAAACTGAGACTTTACATCTTCCTTAACAGACAATACTAGTACATGTGACCTAGATGGGCTGCGGTGGTAGAGTGACCTTCTTCAAACACTAGTCCTCCAATACTGGATCGCGGGTTCGAGGCCTACGTGCAGTCACCATTTAAGGGTCGCAGGTCGGTGGTTTTTCACCGGATGTTCCGTCTTTCCTCTATCATCAAAACGTGTCACGTCCTTAAATGACCATAGCTGGTAATGGGACGTTAACATCACACACAAACCAAAAACCTGTGACTTACCTAAAGATTTTAGCTCTGATCTGCCTTACCTAGAGTAGTAATCGGCTCTGATCTGCCTTACCTAGAGAAGTAATCGGCTCTGATCTGCCTTACCTAGAGTAGCAATCGGCTCTGATCTGTCTTACCTAGAGAAGTAATCGGCTCTGATCTGCCTTACCTAGAGTAGTAATCGGCTCTGATCTGCCTTACCTAGAGAAGTAATCGGCTCTGATCTGCCTTACCTAGAGTAATAATCGGCTCTGAACTGCCAAATCTAGAGTAATAATCGGCTCTGAACTGCCTTACCTAGAGTAGTAATCGGCTCTGATCTCCCTTACCAAGAGTAGGAATGGGCTCTGATCTGCCTTACCGAGAGTAGTAATCGGCTCTGATATGTCTTACCTAGAGTAGTAGTAATCGGCTCTGATCTACCTTGCCTAGAGTAGTAATAGGTTCTGATCTGCCTTACCTACAGAAGTAATCGGCTCTGAGTTGCCTTACCTAGAGTAGTAACCGGCTCTGGCTCTGAACTGCCTTACCTAGAGTAGTACTCGGTACGATCTGCCTTCCCTAGAGTAGTAATCAGCGCTAATTTGCCTTCCCTAGAGAAGTAATCGGCATTAATCTGCCTTACCTAGAGAAGGAATCGGCACGGTCTGCCTTACCTAGAGTAGAAATCGGCTCTGATCTACCTTGCCTAGAGTAGTAATCGGCTATGCTCTGCCTTACCTAGAGAAGCAATCGGCTCTGATCTGCCTCACCTAGAGTAGTAATCGGCGCTGATCTGCCTTACATAGATTAGTAATCGGCTCTGCTCTGCCTAACCTAGAGTAGTAATAGGCGATGATCTGCCTTACCTAGAGGAGTAATCGGCTCTGATCTGCCAAATCTAGAGTAATAATCGGCTCTGATTTGCCTTACCTGGAGTAGTAATCGGCTCTGGGAGTAGTAATCGGCTCTGATCTACCGTACCTAGGTTAGTAATCGGCTCTGATCCGCCTTACCTAGAGAAGTAATAGGCTCTGATCTGCCTAACCTAGAGTAGTAATCGGCGCTGATCTGCCTTACATAGATTAGTAATCGGCTCTGATCCGCCTTACCTAGAGAAGTAATCGACTCTGGTCTGCCTTACCTACAGAAGTAATCGGCTCTGAACTGCCAAAACTAGAGTAATAATCGGCTCTGAACTGCATTACCTAGAGTAGTAATCGCCTCTGATCTGCCTTACCTACAGAAGTAATCGGCTCTGATTTGCCTTACCTAGAGTAGTAAACGCCTCTGATCTGCCTTACATAGAGTAGTAATCGGCTCTAGTCAGCCTTACCTAGAGTAGTAATGGGCTCTGAGCTGCCTTACCTAGAGTAGTTAGCGGCTATGATCTGCCTATCCTAGAGAAGTAATCGGCTCTTATCTGCCTTACCTAGAGTAATAATCAGCTCTGAACTGCCAAATCTAGAGTAATAATCGGCTCTGAACTGCCTTATCTAGAGTAATAATCGGCTCTGATTTGCCTTACCTGGAGTAGTAATCGCTCTGGTCTGCCTTACCTAGAGAAGCAATCGGCTCTGATCTGTATTACCTAGAGTAGTAAGCGGCGCTGATCTGCCTTACTTAGAGTAGTAATCTGCTCTGGTCTGCCTTACCTACAGAAGTAATCGGCTCTGAACTGCCAAATCTAGAGTAATAATCGGCTCTGATCTGCCAAATCTAGAGTAATAATCGGCTCTGATCTGCCTAACCTAGAGTAGTAATCGGCGCTGATCTGCCTTACATAGATTAGTAATCGGCTCTGATCCGCCTTACCGAGAGTAGTAATCGGCTCTGAACTGCCTTACCTAGAGTAGTTAGCGGCTATGATCTGCCTATCCTAGAGAAGTAATCGGCTTTAATCTGCCTTACCTAGAGTAATAATCAGCTCTGAACTGCCAAATCTAGAGTAATAATCGGCTCTGATTTGCCTTACCTGGAGTAGTAATCGGCTCTGGGAGTAGTAATCGGCTCTGGGAGTAGTAATCGGCTCTGATCAGCCTTACCTAGAGTAGTAATCTGCTCTGGTCTGCCTTACCTACAGAAGTAATCGGCTCTGATTTGCCTTACCTAGAGTATTAATCGGCTCTTATCTGACTTACCTAGAGTAGTAATAGCCCCTGATCTGCCTTACCTACAGAAGTAATCGGCTCTGAGTTGCCTTAGCTAGAGTAGTAATCGGCTCTTATCTGCCTTACCTAGAGAAGGAATCGGCTCTGAACTGCCTTACCTAGAGAAGTAATCTGCTCTGATCTGCCTTACCTTGAGTATTAATCGGCGCTGTTCTGCCTTACCTAGAGCAGTAATCGGCTCTGCTCTGCCTAACCTAGAGTAGTAATAGGCTCTGATCTGCCTTACCTGTAATCGGCTCTGATCTGCTAGAGTAATAATCGGCTCTGAACTGCCAAAACTAGAGTAATAATCGGCTCTGATCTGCCAAATCTAGAGTAATAATCGGCTCTGATCTGCCGTACCTAGGGTAGTAATCGGCTCTGATCTGCCTTACCCAGAGTAGTAATGGGCTCTGATCTGCCTTACCTAGAGTAGTAATCGGCTCTGGTCAGCCTTACCTAGAGTAGTAATCGGCTATGATCTGCCTTACCTAGAGAAGTAATCGGCACGGTCTGCCTTACCTAGAGTAGTAATAGGCTCTGATCTGCCTTACCTAGAGTAGTAATCGGTACGATCTGCCTTACCTAGAGTAGTAATCGGCTCTGGTCACTCTGGAATTGAACAAGGTCCGAAGACAGGGCCGTGTTCTACAATCTACACCAAACACCACCGCCGGCAGAACCAGCAAACAGCACAGCAAAAGTACCTCTTTAGCGAACATGCTGACCGCGCACTCATGTCGTCCTTGCACCACGCATGCTATATATATATGGTTTTTCTTGAGGCCCCGCTGGGGTCAATGTTACAAACAGGTTTTATCGTGTATGTTTCTGTTAAAAAACACTGTAATTAATACATTTCAATGGAAAATATCTATGTTGTTAATCTTATATGATTTTACATCTTCCTCTTAACCGCATTTGTGTACTAGTAATTCACTAATCTATACCATATAAAAAGGTACAATTTCTAGATTAAATTAACCATACCATCCCTCAAATTAGACGCAGCCTATCGTTTGATAATATTACGGAAGCGTTCACTTTAAATCGAGCTAATGTATATTTAGATAAATGTTAAGTAGATACAACTGTATCTAATTCATCTGATGCACAAACGTACTAGTATTTGAACTATGAAGTTGTTATTTAATATATATAATAAAACTATTTTGCTCTCAATTACATAACTATATCTCAAACTTGCAAGGACACATTCAGTTTACTAGGCTACATTTGACCCTCATAATCGCCCAGTTTCCAAGTGGCTGGTTGTTTGTATTTTCCCTGTCTTGTTTACTTGTGGCATTTCGTCTTTTAGATGCTTGCGTGCATTTCATTGAGGTCTCATTTCTTTAATATTAATAGACTTTTGTACAATGCTTTTGCATTTTGATGATCGTTCTAAATTGTTTTTATAGTTTTCATATATATTGATAAGATTTGTTGAATTCCAATTTGCTTTCTGTCATTCTGATGTGTTTTCTTATATTTTTTAGTTTTATTTATCGAGTTGATTACTTTCCTATTTATTGGCAGTTACTGGCAATTTGTGCGATTTCCTGTATGAAATTAACATATCATATTGTGACATTCTTTTTATTTCTTCCATTTAGGTATATTAACATTTGCGCTGAAACCCACTATATGAACATTACCAGCAGAAATGCATTTCATTTGAGTATGAATGCAAAACCTCTTGTGACGTAACACGTGGTTCAATAATGACGTCATAGATTAACCTTGTCGAATGAGAGTCTTGTCGCTTCGCTTCGTATAACATGGAAAAAATGCCCCTGCGACAAACGCTTTAAAAATGACTACGGTTAATTATTGGCGCCAGTTTTAGTGAAACAGGGCTATTCCGCCAATGCCGGTAAGAACGCAAATCGGTTACAGCGGGCTTCATGCATTATGGATGTCCCCGATTTGCGTTCATACCGGCATGAAAAAAAAAAAAACGCCGTTCAATCCATATGTGATTTGTTTGACATTCTTCGAGCCTTGATGCATTTTTGACATGCTTTCTTGTGTAATGATATGTTGTTTTTGTTTCTTTTTAATTTTGTGTCATTTCTTGTTTTGCTTTCTTTCATTTTTAGTAAACTTTTTGGCATGTTGTATGTTTCTTAAATTCTGTGACCTCTTGCATCTTGTACTTACTTTAATTTCAATATGTAATCTGATTTAAAGTGTATTCCATGGATTTAGGTCGGATTCTTGCAAATTTGTTCCTACTTCTTGATGTTATGATTGCATTTTCCTAGCAAGAGCAAGCATATGGTAGGAGAAAGCAGTATTGTAAAGTCAATCGCTAAAAGGAAGACAAGATAAGGAATACATCTTAAAATAGACATGAAAATAAGTTGAAAATAACAGAAAAATGCGCAAAAAAATAGAGAAAAGAAGAAAAAAAGGAAGGAAAAAATACAGAAATGAAACAATTTATTGATATGTCAGAGAAACTAACTCAAACCTTGGTCTCTCTTTTCATAGGTATCTCACTGACCATTACCTTCAGGTTCGGTGAAAAAATGGTTCTACTGTTTCCCTCTGCATTGTCGTAATAGGCGCCATATATGGGACCCCTTCAGAATCGGGGGCTTGCTCCTCTGTCTTCGGCTAAGGAGACATAGAAGAGTAAACACTGAGGAGTAAACAGGGTATGTTTATTTGTTTACCCAAGTTTTTTCAGCCCATATTATGACGCGTTGGCTATGATTTTTTTATGACAGTGTTGATATTGTTGTGATAAGCGGGAGGCGTACCTTCGGTGGTATTTACGGTATTATGTATATCACTGTCAAATTAACTTCCAACATGCAACTTTACCTCCTCATGGACATTAAAATACTACCTCGCTGATCATCCGCGTACATATATAAGCCAGTGGTTAACCATGACTAAGTTACGTGTTGTTATTTGTAGTTCTCTAGCTTTTTACCGAGCTGACAGTTTCTGGTGGATTTTTCGCTCGTACATGGTCATTTACTTGGCGGCATCCAGAAAGCAGAATCGGTATATCCCTCAAACATTGTGTTTCATACTCAACAGGTAGTTTGTGGAAGCTGCATTGATGAGCAATTTTAAACGGTATTGAAGGGTTTGCGTTTGCCGTACTTTATATGATATATAGACCTTACTTACATATAAGTTGGTTTGGTTTGGTTTAGTATTGTTTAACGTCCTATCAACAGCTATGGGCATTGAAGGACAGTACACCTATCGCCATACCTTTAATCAATCAAATTTAAAAATGACAAAATAGCAACACGAAAGATATTTAATATAAAAATACTGACAAATAAATGTAGGGGGAATTATGCCATCATCCCATTAATCTTGCTCTGATTTGAATATCAGGATCCTGCTTTTCGTGGCAGCGACCTTTTCAACATAGAAATAAACGTTTATCCCTTTAACGTCAAAAACAATTATGTAAATTTTCCTGAACCAATTTTGCCAAATAAGACATGTGTCCATGTTTTTAAATGTCACCTTTTTCATATAGCAAACATTCGTAGACTAAAAGATGGCGGCTCCGTTGTCGGTCGTGTTGCTGTGGGGTACTTTGTTATGGCGGATCTCGAGTTCTTTCCAACATGGTAAGTTTAATTCAACATGTTCAGCACGTGCGATATCAAACATAATATTGTTATAAGATTTAAAGTAACGAAATGATGTACTGACTGGCAAATTTTAATGGTAAAAAAGCCTTGTATTTTCTGTAAATGTTAAGTGTCTTTTTGGTTCTTAAACCGTGTGGTTTTCGTGGAAATTGTGTTGTATTACAATCTATATTATACCACATAAGAGATCGCAAAAATAGAAACATCTATTAATGAAGTAAAAATATCTTGAAACGAAATAAACCACCCTGAAGATAACATCAGCATATGAGTAATGTAAATTGTTTATAAGACATCTTATGATATAAGATATCTCAATTTATTCAACGTTGTCTACGCTGTATAAGAAGCTTTACTGAAGACTTAATTAAGACAGCAGATTTAATGTTAGCCTTTCACTAGACAGCGTCCGTTAGGCAGGTAGACACATCCAGACACAACGGTTAACAATTCATAACTATAAAACTAGTATTATGAATAGTACATAAAAGCATATTACGCGCAGAGAATTAAAGATTAAAACAATAGCAATACAGTGATGTCATACTAAATAGTACGTATCTGGATGTAAGTGGTGTTGGTGCATGGGTATTATACAAAGAAGATATAATTCCTCCATAACTGTTGTGGATGTAGAGCCAAATTAACATTTTTTTCAAGGAGCAAAGTCGATCCCGAATTTCGTTAAAATACATAAAATATCTTATGTAGTATATGATATATCTTGTATAGTATGAGATATCTTATGAAGTATATGAGATATCTTATAAAGTATATGAGATATCTTATATGATATACATGTATGAGAAATCTAATATAATATATAAGATATCTTATATACTATATGAAATATATCATATAGAAAATAAATTACAGAAAATAAAATGAGACATCTTATACAGCATATGAAATATTTAATAAAGTATCTCATTTAAAGTATATAAGATATTTCATTATATCCTTTAACTTCTCTTATGCACTTTATAAGATATCTCATATAGATATAGTTATATGAAATTCGGGATCGACCATGCTCCTTGAATAAATGTTAAGTTTGCTTGCCATAATTGTGTGTTTCATCAACCCATCCTATTTAATAATTGTGACACTTTCATATCACGCGCTTAAATCTGACCTTTAAAACGGATTTCAGAATAAACTCACTCGAAGTGATAAATGTCATATAGTTAATATTCACTCGATAGTTTCAAAATGTAGTGTTTATCTTATAATAAGTGATAATTGCATTTTAACAAGAATTGGGAGTTTATCAACCTTAAAAATGCCGAAAATCAGCGGGAATCTATAGTCTCGTTGAATTAACAAATTGGAGAAAATTAAATGCTCGTTATTATAACACACTTAAGCAAAATGCCATATTTTGTGTTAAAATGTTTACGTCATTCATTTAAGTTGTTCGAGCGATGTGACGAGTCACACTGTGTTGTTGATACTTCCTGCCAAATCCAGAAATTTATGATATCAAAAACATTTGTGTGGTTGTTGACCTACTCTACTCACTTTCCTAGATTTGACAGAAGACACCATGACAATTGCCATATTTGAAGAAAACATTAACCCAGTCAGAGAACCCATTTCGTCTGCAGTTTCGTGTGTTTATAATGTCTTATCATTATTAGGTGTTGTTTGGTCAATGATACGTGCATTCTCCAATATTTTTTTGTTGTGTCTATTTCCAGGTAATTCAAGACCGGAGATGCTTGAGGATAAGATATTCCGGGAGATATTTCGTAATTATAACAAGGCTGTCCGTCCGGCCACCATGGACACCAAGATAGTAGTGGTCAAACACGGAATGAGCGTCACACGCCTAGTTGAATTGGTAATACAGATATAGTCATATTTCAAACTGGACTTGTACTTGTTATTTTTCAAATCTCGTTTGCATTGTCAGCTTTAAACATTGTATTTCAGTTTACTTATGAACAACTGTAGTTGTAAAATGTTTGTTCACTGTTCTAAGGTACTATATTATTATCCGTCCACTATGTGGTTTTACTGTATCTGTCCAGTATATATTCCAGGCTAAAAACAACGTTGAAATACATACATTATACAGTTGAATGATTTGGCTATAATGTTGGCACCTTAAGGAGTTTCCGTGCAATTATTCTGAAAAGAATACTTTGATTTTTATGAAATTGCATCCAAACATACCACCCTGAATGAAAGATTCTTAATGGATTATCAGACTGCAATGAAATTTGCCTATTGTGTATTTACCATAGGCATTGCTTGGCGCTTTTATATACCAATAACTGGCAGCATAGTTTCTAGTCCTCTCTTCTAATCATCATTATAGCTCAATATCTTTCACTTACTAGACCTTGTCGTCCTATTTTAATTTACACTATATTAGTGTATATTATGTTAATTTTACTCTTTTGCTATATTAGCATGTATGTACATTACACCTGAAGTGTTTTAACCCTCCAATATATAGCAACACCTGTGTGACATGCAGGTGGTCACTGTTATCTCTTTACATCTTATTATTATAGTACTTTAAATCTGGTGCATGTGATATCTAATAATATGCTGCCATGTTATTGTATGTTTTACTCGCTGATTATGTGCTAGCTTTCTGTGATAGTGTATAGCTTGTTTTGTTGTTTTCTGTTTGCTTTTTATCATGTTTGTCGCAAAAATAGCGCTACAGCGCTAATGTTTCTCTCAATAAAGTTTCTTGTATCTTGTATCATCAAGCCCCTTGCTCAAGCTCGTTGTTCAACCAAAGTGCCAAATAGTTCATGACGCTGGAGCGATCTTGTAAATAATACAACACACAACAGAAAAAAAACATTTATCCCTTCATCATAAGTAAATTCCATCCGACAATCATTCGATCTTAGCTTGTGCAGGCGAACCACCAACTTCCTTGGAATATTTCTTTTATGAACAAAATAGCAACGATTTTTACATCATGATGTCATGTCTCTTCAGAAAGATGACGTCATGACGTTCGACACCTGGATTGACATGGGGTGGAATGATGCACGCCTCCGTTGGGAGCCTGATGACCATGACGATGTATCTCGTGTAAACATCCCCACAGATTTGATCTGGATGCCTGATATTGTTCTGTATAACAGGTAAAGTGGTCAAGGGGTCAAATGTGTCATTTATGATTTTTAATTACTGTAAAAGTGGTACTTTTTTTGCGTATGAAAATGTTCGCGTTGTAACCCTTTAAACTGATCGCAGTGAAGAAATGTTCGCGTTGTAACCCTCTAAACTGATCGCAATGTAGAAATGTTCGCGTGGTAACCCTTTAAACTGATCGCAGTGTAGAAATGTTCGCGTTGTAACCCTTTAAACTGATCGCAGTGTAGAAATGTTCACGTTGTAACCCTCTAAACTGATCGCAGTGTAGAAACGTTTGCGTTATAACTCTTTAAACTAATCGCAGTGTAGAAATGTTCGCGTTGTAACCCTTTAAACTGATCGCAGTGTAGAAATGTTCGGGTTGTTACCCTTTAAACTGATCGCAGTATAGAACCGTTCTCGTTGTAACCCTTTAAACTGTTCGCAGTGTAGAAATGTTCGCGTTTCAAATATGGTTCTGAAATATATATATTCCATAAATAAATATTCGTCTGTGTCTATTTTCGCGCTAATATAGTCAATGTGAGAGACGCGAAAATGTCCACTTAAGCAGTATTTCATTAAAAGATATTGCTATTGTTTACATAAGATGAGTTGTTCAAATGATATGCTCCTGATGTTAACAGCTAAAATAGAAATTTAGTATATGTCTACCCGTGTATGTCGTTGGTAGTGCAGGGACAGCCACAGACATGTACCCGTCAATGCCTCGCCAGGCACACGTTACGCATGATGGAACTATACATACCGCCCCCGCCATGCGTCTTCGTGTATGGTGCGGGAGAACTGAGGGCTGCTCTCCTGTGGACCAACAAGGGAGTTACACGTGCGACCTTAAGTTTGGTTCATGGGTATATGATGGCTTTAGCGTGGATCTACAGAATCGTCAGGAGAGCATTGACCTTAGTCATTATTCCCAGCATACTCAATGGAGCGTGAAAAATTCTTCAGTCAACCGGAACGTCGTTTTATATTCTTATTGTCCGGAACCCTATCTCGACATTACGTACACCATACAACTTGCACCCAAATATGGTCATGCTAGGTTGGTATGAACCATTTCTTTTGTATCATGCTCGACTTGTGTGAACTCTTTCTTAAGGTATACAATCCCCGTACAACTATCATCCAATTATGCACCATGCGATATATATATATAGGCTGGTGTGAAAATGTTCCTGGAATTTCGGCACTATTTGATGTGCAAAAAAATACGGACAGTGTTAGGAAGGCGTGAATGCTTTTCACTTACATCAATGCAATCACTTGTCCGCTTCAAAGTGAATACTCCCCATTAATATTGCAATAAATGTATTCATATCGAAATGTTGTTGTGTTTTTGACAAAAAGTTTTTAATCAATATCGGATTTTGACATTTTATAAACAAAACGATTGTCGCACCCTTTGGAATATTTCGCAGTTGTGCTTGAAACAATTCATAACTATATGTAATTATATTTGTGTATACCTAAGCATCATTACACAAGGAAAATATATACACCACAGCTTCAATAAATTTTTAGTGGAAAAAATAGCATACTGTAGTTTGGCATAGCATCAACAGACAACACGGGATGTATATCAGCACACGGCAAAATATCAGCGTCAATACACTAGGAAATATTCCGTCTTTGCGTATTGCAGAGTCATCTTCTCTTGGGAGCAGGTATTGATTGTTACGTCATTGGGTTGTGTGAGAAAATTACGTCGTTTTCTCAAAAATTGATGACGTTACTCTCACAAACCAATGACGTAACAATCAATACCTGCTCACAAGAGAAGATAACTCGATCTGCAATACGAAAAGACGGAATACCATAATGTCAAAACAGCGCAAATGTTTGTTATATCACAGCGTCTAGCCGAGACAACTACATGTAGCTCAGCGTGAGCACATTAGGAATAGTATATAGTCTCCAAAACTTCCTATTTTCCCTAGAAAAAAAATGCATATTTCTCATGAGCTCTACTAATCTGAACACGTCAGCAAAATAGCATTGAGCTAGCCATTACAGTATCTTTTTGTTAGCAGGACGAAAGTGTGTGTAAAACATAACTAATCACTCCTGCGTGATGCAGACAAAAAAATCTCGAGAAACTCGTGCTTAAACTTGAAAAACCTCAACCTCGGGTTCATATTTCTTTTGTCTGCGTTAAAGAAATATAAAATGCATTTGATCTTCACCATCATTTTAGTTATAATCTGTCCATATTCTTTGACCTCTTGAAAAGCTGTCTTGGTGTGCACAAATTACTGATTCGTTCACTTGTGTATAAAGAGAAAAATAGCGAGTAAAGATAAGTACGAAAATTTACATAAAAAAGGCATGCATCGTAAAAAATGGGGTGTTGGAAACTAGACATCTAATAGTATATGATCTACTTTTGAATAGCACTTGAATAACACTTGAAACCACATGCTTAAAAACAAAATGTTAAATACAATGTCAATGGTTGCAAATAAATCCAAAATCAAATAACCTCATGTGAAAGGAATAGGGTTCAGAATCATAGAATCAATATGGGTAATTGTATGATGAAAGCAAAAATGGAGAATAGTTGAGAAAGTTATCACGAAAGTTATCACTGAGAATCGATAGTGTTATCTGAGGAACAGAATAGAACTATCTAAATTACTTCATCATATACCGAACACTAATCACGTTTTGTAATCACCAGGAAGGATAGGTTTGTATATTGTTAACAGACTGTAGTTTAACAAAACCCGTCTAAATCAAGGTGAAATTTCCAACTCGACAACATGCGAGTTAACACTACAAGCATCCTCGATATCCAGAGGTTACGCTCACTTTCGCTCTCTACACCCCTGGAATATGTCGTAGCAAAATTGAAGGTTCAGTGTGAACCACCTTGTTGATGAGACAAGAAGACTAATTCGATCCTTTGATATACATCAAAAAAATCTCGCGGTCATGTAACGGTAAAAATTGACCAGGCTTCGAAGTCTGGCGTCTCACCTTTGTAATCTTCAAAGGACAGGTATCAGCCTAGCGATTGGTCAGGTATTTTTTTAACCTGAGACCAATCAAATAGCTATCTTCGTGCCTTCAGTTTTGCTATGACATATTCCAGGGTTGCAGAGAGGGAAAGTGAGCGTAACCCCTGGATATCGAGGACTCACTACAGGCTATAATGCGTTATTTTCCTTTTGGGAAAGGGCATAATACGTTGTAAAAACTTGTATCCAATCTATTTGTAATGATTCACAATAAAATATATTTAACTAAACTAACTAAAATATTACTATACGCCTTATGGATCGAATTTAATCATGTGATTTTCAGATTATGTCGATATAAATTTACTGAAGACAATAAATAAATAAATGATACTAATTCCTGTTGTATGCAAGATTTACAAAAGAAGATATTCTAAAATGAAAAGTTTCCAAATATTTTTTACAGTATAACTACCTTATACCTGTGACAAAGAAAGTGGGTCAAGCACAACTCGGCATGCCACAACCTAAATATCGTTTATCAGCATTTATAATGTTTGGGAACAAGTCGTATAAACACACTTGTGCCTTTTGACATTATTATTCATCCAGGTCATTCATTTGAACAAACTTGAGAGTCCTTCATCTAAACAAGCTACACACAAAGTATCATAACCCTTGAACTTGTGAATATTATGAATATATCTTCAAAACTGTTTTAAAGATATTTTACTTCTTTCAAAGACATTTCTATTGCGTTTCAAGACATTTCAATAATATTTAAATATATCTATTACACCAAAACAAGATCTCTCTTTTTTGCGACCTCCTTTAGGCTGTTTAATGTCAAAGAATTATGAAACTGACAACAGCTAAAGATTTGTCACTGTGACCACTTCACTTTAACCTTATGACGAGACTGCCTGTTACCGGCTCGCTGTATTTTCTCTTCCTTCATGATGCCGATTGGTTAGCTATATACAATAAGTGTTACACAAGTGGAAATTAGATACTCACTTCCTTATTCTTCCAATTGTTTTAGTATGTCATATTTGATATTTAAAGATGGATGAAGTGTTGTTCATTTGCCACTTATGTCTTTATACCTGATGGAGGATTGGGTATTCTACCAATGTTGTAACAGTTCTGTCTTTGTACCTGATGGAGGATTAGGTATTCTACCGATGTTGTATCAATTATGTCTTTATACCTGATGGAGGGTAGGGTATTCTACCAATGTTGTATCGGTTCTGTCTTTATAACTGATGGAGGATTAGGTTTTCTACCAATGTTGTATCAGTTCTGTCTTTGTACCTGATGGAGGATTGAGTATTCTACCAATGTTGTAACAGTTCTGTCTTTATACCTGATGGAGGATTGGGTATTCTACCGATGTTGTATCAGTTCTGTCTGTATACTTGATGGAGGATGGGTATTCTACCAATGTTGTATCAGTTCTGTCTTTATAACTGATGGAGGATTGGGTATTCTACCAATGTTGTATCAGTTCTGTCTGTATACCTGATGGAGGATTGGGTATTCTACCGATGTTGGATCAGTTCTGTCTTTGTACCTGATGGAGGATTGGGTATTCTACCAATGTTGTATCAGTTCTGTCTTTGTACCTGATGGAGGATTGGGTATTCCACCAATGTTGTATCAATTCTGCCTTAAAATTCAACCACCGATTATAAAAATATAGAGGATCTGTCATAAAATTCCCTTTATATTAGATTTATGATACAAGTGTTTAGGTCACCTGAGACAAAGTCTTTACTATAGTTTATATAGGGAAATCACATTTTGGACCAACATTTGTTTAATTTCCATCGGAATTAATTCAAACTTGGTTAGCATTATCAGTATTGGATAGCAGTTTGATGGTATGCACATATCAGCTCTGACTGACCTCCAGGGGCTGATGGGTTGGGCCAGAAAAGGTTATGAAGGTGCTTGACCATAATTCAGCTGACTGACAGAACCACTATTTATACATAGTACATATACTACCCAGATATTTCACACTACTTTTGGATGACATGTATTTCAAGTTACCTTTATTACAAAGTGATTTCTTTTTCATTTGGCAACATCGATAACATTAGTTTTTAAATATCTCATGTGAACATTAAGGCCAATGGGCCTCTTGTTTATGTAGAGGCTCGCAAACATGAAAAATCCAAAACGAGTATCATCAATCTAATATGAAGGGAAATGAATGACAGATTCTTTTTATCATATAATACAAAGTAAACTGTATTATTGTGATCTGAAACGAATATTTTGCAACTTGGCCGCCTAAAAAATGATGAAAATTGCGTCTGCTTCACAATGACTTAACGTCATTTCCGTAGTGATATTACACAAGTTACATAAACATAATTTATCAAATGAATACCGTGTTATGCATTGTCATAAAGCCATCACATAAAGTATGCATACACCAGGTCAAATATCACAGGCCTTATTGGGTTTTTTGAAAAGTTTTACCACTACGACCTCGATAGTGGATCAAAGTCATTCAATACCTGTGACCTTGACAGTTTGTCCATGCCATACATTTGAACAAATCTGATAGCTCTTCATCCCAAAAAACTACATGCCAGACATCATTACTATAGGCAGATGTGCCTTTAGAAGAGAACCTAGACTGGTCCACGTCTCTAAAATATTGAATTATTTAGACAATAAAAACTAATGATATTGATCACTTCGATGTCTGAAACTTCTCCAACTAGGAGGGATAAGCTATGAGTAGAAATGTAGTGACTGTGAACCTGTGCACATAAAAATGGGTAAAGTTAGCGTTGGCGGATTACTTATGTCGCGAATATTCAGAGTCCAAACTGAGAGCGAATTACATCTTACTAAATATTTTTTCCTACCAATTGATTTCAAAACCACGAACATGAACGTCACATAAGTCAAGTGAAGTAAGCAATGGTCCGTCGTACTGAGGCGGAGATCCGGGAGTGAGAAATTCGGTGCAAATAAGCGATAGTGAAAAACATGGAAATTGGACTGGAATTCAGTTGATAAATTGAATCCGAACAGGTGATCTGCACGCCTTGATTCAAACGCTTTGTTCATACTTTTATAATGTTAACCTATCGTAATACAAGGGGCCCAGAGGGCCTGTATCGCTCACCTGTTTCTTTTGTTACATGAAACATGACTTAACATA